GGGGGCCTTAAAAATTAGACTAGGGTTCCCTAAAAAGGGGTCTGTAAAGGGTAACTATAAGGGATCTATAAGGGTGCTGTAATATATAAGGGCCTTAATAGTTAGACTAGGGTTTCGGGGCCCAATATAGTACACTTATAATGGGAACCCCCAAAATAGTAGAGGCTACCGATCGAGATTTGAGTTTGGGTTGCGGTGTTTAACAGTTGTGCCGCCGCGTGACTTTAAGGTAATTTTCAAAGTGGCCTCACTTCACTACTTGGTTCGAAGTACGCCGTGCTGGAGTCGTGTTTGTGGAAACCACAATCCAAACGGAGTTGTAAAAGCTAGAACAACTCTTGAAAACAAATAGACCCCAAGGCACCAAGCCCACATCATTTGAAGGTATCTAAACTCCTAAGCCGTAAACTCTAAGCCCCCCTAAACCTCTAAACCTCTAAACCTCTAAACCTCTAAACCTCCAAACCTCCAAACCTCTAAACCCTCAACCTAAACCCCAAACCCTAAACCCTAAACTGACTTCTTCCACCTATTTAAAGAGCAAGGCGCCCCTGCTCGGTGGGGCGCTCGGTGGCCGAAGGGCCGGCCTCTGGGGAAAAAGACTCGCGTTGCTTCGGGGGGAAAGCTTCGGTTGATGATGTAAATCCTGGGGGATCTTAACGGGTACCTTTAAGGGGTTCCTTTAAGGGATCTATAGGGTTTAGGGTTTAGGATTTGGGTTGATGATACACATCCTGCATTACCTTAATAACCCTAAACTATGGGAATTATACATCACACAGTAGTATACTCTTCATTGTGGGCAATGCAGGATTTATATCATCAACCGTTGCACTAGGGGTTAAGGGGTTTAGGGTTTAAGGTGTTTAGGAGTTAAGGGTTTAGGGTTAGGGTTTAGGGCCGTCGCGATAGCTTAGGGTTTAGGGGTTTAGCGTTCAGGGTCTAGGGTCAAATGGTAAGGTTCTTGATTAGGCTACTGGGCTTTAATGGTGTTTTCCTTGTTTTGCGAAGCTCTGTTCCTAGTTCATGTTTGGGATAGGATTAAACAACTATTTTTTAATCCTTATTGGGCTTTAAGTACCCATAAAAATGTAAAATGTTAGCCAACTATGACAAAGGTTCTAGTTTCACAAGGTTTTGAGGGGTGCGTGCAGGGGCCAGAGACTCCAAAGCCCCTCAATTAAGGAATATGCCTTAAATCATATAAGGGATCCTATTATAACTTAAGGTATATTCCTTAATTAAGGGGTTTTGGAGGCTCTGGGCTGGGAGCCTTGGGTTTCGGAAGTTCTGCTTCGGGGGTCTCTGTGGGTTCAGGGTTTAGGGTTTAGGGTTTAGGGTTTAGGGTTCAGGGTTTAGGGTTTAGGGTTCGGAGCTTGGGGCTTCGGGATGTCGGCTCTTGGGTATGGAGTTGGAAAACTACGGTTGATGATATAAATCCTGCATTACCTTAAGGACCGCAAGCTATGGGAATTATGGTATGTTCCCTATTATGGCTAGTGCAAGATTTATATCATCAACCGTAGGGGCGCAGACTTTGCGGTTTAGGGTTTACCGGAGGGCCAGGAGAGAGAAATCGGGACGTGCAGGTACGCAGAGCCCGATGCGGGAGAACAGCAAGCCTCTGCTGCATGGCCGCGATACTGCTTAAAGGATCATGGGACTTAGTAACTATAGGGTTCTTTAAAGGGCTCCTTTAAAAGGGATCTAGAAGGGTTCTATAACAGGGGTCTTAGGGTTACTTAAAGGATCATGGGACTTAGTAACTAGGATTATAAATCAGGTAAGTACCGGTATATTTGCTTATTACCCCATTAAGGTATTTGTAACCTTACATACTAAGTCCCATGATCCTCCAAGTACTCCCTTCAGTGAGGATCTTGTGCATGGCCTTGAACATTGCTTACTTCTCGACAAAAACGCACAGTCTGAAGGAGGCCGCCTGACACCCGAGACAGGAAAGCATAGTGAGCAATTACCCCCCGAACTAGTAGGGTCTTCCGTTCAAGGACATGCTCTCGACTCTTGGCGTGTCATTGCCTTGTAGGGGCAGAACCCTAAACCCTAAACCCTAAACCCTAAACCCTAAACCCTAAGTGTTGTTGCTTGGTGACGTTGAGGGTGTCGGCCTTGAGGCATTCTGCCCAAAGCTCTCCAGCGTCGGCTTCAACTGCGGAAATTGACGCAAACCTACAGTAGCGAGGACGAAGATTCGAAAAACCATCGACCTTTCCCGAAGCAGGCATCCGCTCCGACCGCATCGCCGCCGGTGAGGTAGAGGTAGGGGAGAAGATTTAGATGCTGGGCTCGTAGCACTACCCCACAGACTTTGAATCCCAAGATATACGGGAGCTTTCCTCACAGACCGAAGCCCTAATTTTGAAAATTACAAGCCTCAACCCACAAACCCGCAAAACCTGAAATCCCTGAAACCCTTCCACCTCTACTGCCAGGCCGTCTAGCCTCTGAACCCCGAACCCTAAACCTTTAACCGACCCAGCAATCCTATACAACCTGCCATATGGGACTTATAGAACCAGTCTAGAGACCCGAAAACCCTCAAGAAACCCTACTACTACAAAAGCCTCCCCAAAATCCCAAACCCTAAACTCCCCAAACCCACGGTTTAGGGTTTAGAGCATAGGGGTGTAGGGTTAAGGGCTTACGGTGTAGCGCTTAGGGCTTGCAAGCCAGGGGCGAAGCTTCCAAAGCAGCCAGAGTCAACTGCTCGGCTTTAGCCAGGAGCCTCGGCTTCGTAACGGTGGATGATATAAATCCCTAGGGTTCCCTTACAGGGATCTATAAAGGGTACCTTTAAGGGTTCCTTTAAGGGATCTGTAGGGTTTTAGGGTTTAGGGTCTAGGTTGATGATATAAATCCTGCATTACCTTAAGGACCCTAAACTATGTGAATTATGGTATATTCCCTATTATGGGTAATGCAGGATATATATCATCAACCGTAAGGGTTCCTTCAAAGGCCCTTCCCTTCAAGCGCACTGCAAAGAGTATAGTTGATTCAGGGTCGGGAACGGTTTCTTTTTAGGGAATTCCTTGAAAGCGCACTATAAAATTGTTCTTTAAGAGTACTATAATATAATGGTTCTTTGAGAGTACTAGAAGGGAATTAGGGGATCCCTTAACGAGCACCATAACGGTTCGTTACGGTAAGGAGGGTACCATAAAGATACTGTATTTCAAGGGCTAACGTTCAACGTGCAGAGTTTAGGCTTCGAACCTTCGGGCTTCGAGTTTGACATTTTCAGTTGAGGAGGCTTGGAGTCTGGGGTTCCCAGAGCCTCCAAAACCCCCTAATTGAGGAATATACCTTAAATTATAATAGGATCCCTTATATGGTTTAAGGTATACTCCTTAATTAAGGGGTTTTGGAGTCTCTGGGTTTAGGCTTTATGGTTTCAGGCTTAAGGCTAGAGTCTGGGGTTCAAGTTGTGGGTATGTGTGTAGTAACTGCTTGAAGGTCTACCCCCCATAAATCCCTGCGAAATCCTACTGACCCTTGTAGAAGGGCATGCCACCCCCAATGCGACCTCTGTCTCGTCTGTTTTTTGGCGGGAGGTGGCAAACAGCCCGAACGGCGTTTCGGATCGTTTAAGGGGCCAAGTTAAGTCCAACGCTGTTAGGCATCCTTTCCATCATTCCCCAATTCGGGTTTTAAGGCTGTGTTTAGGTTTTGTTCAGGGTTCAAGTTTGGGATTTCGGAGTGGCGAGGGGTGCACCCCTGTTGCAAACTCTGCCTCATAGAGCCCCATAAGAAACAACCTGGGAAAATCTCCAAAAAAAGGTGCCCAACATCACAAAGCCTTACAAAGCCTCATGCCAGCTTGTCTTGTACCTTTTTCAAGCCCTGGCAAAAACACAAACCGAAGCCCACAAAACGATTCAGCCCTTTGAACTTCTGAGATCGAAACAGATGTCTAGCACTTCGTGGTTCCTTTTTTTTCGGGGTTCAGGGTTTAGGGTTTAGGGGGTTCAGGGTTCGCGGGTCTTCGGCTTGGGCCTTCAACCCTAAACCGTTTGGGTCTCAGTGTTCAGGCATGGCACGCATTCATCTGCCCTTGCACATTCTCAAAGTCCTGCGCGGGAGCACATGGGAGTTTCCGAAAATGGGGGACCCTAATATAGTACCCTAAATAGTAGGATCCTTATTATGGGGACCCCAAAATAAGGTACCCTTAATTTTCGGAAACTCCCACATGGACAAGAAGGCACCGAGCCGTCGACCCCGGGGTTGATGGACGAAGCTTACTTAAAGGATCATGGGACTTAGTAACTATAGGGTTCTTTAAAGGGCTCCTTTAAAAGGGATCAACAAGGGTTCCATAAGAGGGGTCTTAGGGTTACTTAAAGGATCATGGGACTTAGTAACTATATAAGGTTATTATGAGGGTAACTATACTTACAACTACTTATAACCCCAATTAAGGTACTTCTCACCTTGCTAACTAAGTCCCATGATCCTCCAAGTAGGGCTCAACCTGACCCTCGAACCCTGCACTGTTTAGGGTAAAGGGATCAGGGCACAGGCCCTACGGTAGCAACAGAAGAAGCTACTGCCTTTTCAGCTGGACGGACGGCAAGATGATGCTAAAGTGCCTTCGGGATGTATTCTCCACAGGATATTGAGATCTCTGCCATGAGTTCTTGAATCGAGGAGTGGGCTACCGCACTATGTCGCCCAAGAACAAGCCCTAAGTGTAAATCTGAAGCTCGATTTCTCTCCGGCAGGCCAACATCCGACCGAACGCACACGTGTTCAATCCGGTGTGCAAAAGTGCATCGGCGCAGGCGGGGCCCTTGGGAGGGTTTCGTTCTTCAGGGTCTTGTTTTCAGTGTTTGGTTTCTTTGAGGACCTGCGGTCTCTCTGCTTCAGTTCTAAATTGGTAGCGGAGCCGTGCTCCAGGTGCGTGTTTGTCTGTCGTGTCTTTGGCCCTGGACGGGCGCTGGTGTGTAACGGGGTTTTCAGGGTTTTAGCTGCGAGCGATGTCGAGCTTCTACGGCTCCGGAGTTTGGCAGCCGACCACGGCTGCTGCTGGCCCTGAGCAGCCAGACGACGAGAAAGAGGACGAGGAGCCTAAGGACGACGCGTGGAGCGGCAGCGGCGGAAAGGACACTGGCTCGGACGGCTGGAGTGATGGACAGTGGAAGAACACTGTCTGGGACGATCACTCGTGGTCGCAAGACAGCTGGTGGCGATGGGATCAAGATTGGTCCAACGGATGGCGACGGCGAGGAAGCCGGGGCGACTCCTGGACTACCGCCTCTACTGGGAACAGCAGTGGCGGACACTACGGGCAAGGAGGTGATCATGGAGCTCAAGGAGCAGGCCCTGGTGTCCCTCGAGGCGGCGATGGAGGAGTTCCTCACGAAGGTGGCCGTGGTCCTTCTGAGAAGATGGTGGTGCCAACGTTTGCCGGCGACGCTGACGGGGACGAGCTTGGATCGAGCGCAAGATCCTACCTGCGGCAGATCGCCGCCTGGCAAAAGATGACGAGGGTTGGCGCCGACAAGCAAGCGCTGGTGTTGTATCAACACCTTTCCGGCCCTGCATGGGTCGAAGCGGAGCGCCTCGAGATGGAGAAGCTTGGTAGCACCCACGGCATGCAGTACTTTACTCAGTGGGTGCGTGACAGGTACCTTGATGTGCAGGTCACTCAGATTGGGCGCAGTCTGTCTGACTTTTTCAGACGCTTGAGGAAGCGGCCTGGGCAAAGCATTCGAGAAGACTGTGGAGAGTTCGATCGTGCACATGCTCGTTTGATCGAGTGTGGATGCGCCCTGCCCGACATTGCATGTGCATGGGTCTTCATCGATAGGATGAACCTCGACGAGGCGGCGGAGCTCAACTTGCTGGCGAGCGTGAACAACATGTACGACCTCAAGCTCCTCCAGAAGGCGGCGATTGTCCAGGACAGAGCTCTTCGCAAGCCATGGGAGACCAACGGTACCGCTCCGGACAAGAAGCCAGGCGGCTGGTGGCGGAAGCGGGCCAATACAATCAACATGTCGGAGCATGAGGTGGAGGACGAGCTGGAGCGCGCCTTCGATGAAGAGGAGCCCCTCCACGACGACGATGCCGAGGAGCTCTTCGAGACCTACATGACGCATGTCAGCGCGAAGCAGAAGTACCGGGATCAGGTGCGCATGCGTGGCTCCGACCCTGAAGCCATTCGGAAAATGGCTGCTGAGAAACTCCAGAAGGTGAAGGCTCGCTCGTTTTGTTCCGGCTGCCGCCGGAGGGGACACTGGCACAAAGATCCGGAATGTCCTTTGAACCAAGGTGCTGCCGGACGACCGAATGGAACCTCGACGGCCTCGGCGGCTTCTACCTCCACGACGGCTACCCCTACGACGAGCCCTACGAAGACTCCCGCGACCCGGGAGAATTATCCATGTCACGTTGTTCATGTCACTTGGGATCTTGAAAAGGACCGCGCCAAGGGGCTCCAAGCGATCACCGACACTGCGTGCTCGAAGACTGTGGCGGGCTCGCCTTGGATCGAGAACTATATCACCGCTGCCCGGGAGGTCGGGTATGAGCCCGAGATCGTTGGAGCTCGCGATGCCTTTAAGTTCGGTGCCTCTAAGGTTTTTGAGTCGACCTACGCTGTGATTGTGAACTTCGGGTTGGGGAGCTACCTTGTCAGGGTGAAGGTGTGCGTGGTCAATGGGGACGTGCCACTCCTCCTGAGCCGGACTACGCTCGGCTCCATGGGCATGATCCTCGACGTCGCGGAGAATCAAGCTGACTTCAGGAAGGTAGGAGTTCATGCCTTTCAGCTTGAGGTGACAGACACCGGCCATCCGGCACTTCCTGTTCGGCCCGAGCCTCTACCGGCCGGATCGGGCAAGTTTGGCCAAAACGGCAGCTCGGAGTTGCAGCTCATTCCGAAGATTGCGCAATACACGGTGTATGCTGCAGAACTACACGGTAAGGATGTCAATGATGAGCCCCAAAACAGTCCTGTTGATCCTTTTCCGAATGTTTTCTATCCTAAGAAGATTGGCAGCGCTACGTACAACATGTTGCTCGATGACAACTTTTGTATGAACTCCTTTGTCGCTTGGTGGGAAGGAACCAACATCTCGAACGACTTTTGGGTTGAAGGAGAGAAGGTCTTAGTCCGTGTGCATGTGATCCCCAGAAAATCGTTCTTCGATCCCCGCGGTTGGTCCACCTCACAGAGTAAGCAGAAGCAGCTTCTTTTGAATGTTCTCGGAGAAGTGCGCAGTACATGGGGAGTCGCCTGCAAGGACTATCGCATGTTGCATCCTCAGCATGCCCTTTGGAGACATGAGAATACGCCGACTTCGTTCGCCACACTTTGGATCGGCAGAACAGTGTTTGCTAGGAAGCCCATGCACCTCCTCGCCTCTCTTCTTCGCTCTCCTGTGCTGAGCGAACATGGCGCCCAAGTCGGCCGAGCTCCTGACGTCCCCCGTGAAGGTGAAGGGCCTGTGGGACTTCACGAAGGCGGAGCTCTTGGCGGAGGCCCAGGCACGTGGGCTGTGGGTGAACCCAAAGTGGACTGTGCCCGAGATTCGCTCGATCATCCAGGAGGACATGGGACGCGGCGCTCCGAACCCCATGGGCGGCAAGACGGCACTCCCGACCGGGTTGTCCAAGATGACCCTTGCGGAGCTCCAGACGACCGCCGAGCAGCTCGGAGTCACGATCCCGGACAAGGCCACGAAGGGCACGATCATGAGGCTGATCAGAGACAATGCGGGCGGCGGGACCCAGTTGGTCTTGACGTTCGGGCGCTACAAGGGGTATCTCTACAGCGAGACGCCCATGGGCTACCGGACTTGGGCGATGAACGAGGTGAAGGCCAACCCCAATCGCTCCGAGGATGTCCAGATGTATGCCAACTGGTGTCAGGAGAATGCGATGGTGACGACCAAGCCGTCGAGGTACGTGGAGGCGGACGACCCCGAGCTGATCGCCACGACCCCCTACGTGCCGGAGGAGTCAGTGGCAAATCACAGCTGGGAGCTTCTGGCGAGGGCACCCTGGGCGGGATCCTCTACGAGCCAGGTTCCGGCCGCAAAGGCCAAGGCGAAGGCCTACTCAGGAGCACGGCGGGGAGCACCGAGCACTGCAACGAGCGAGGGAGGCTACCGCAGAATGGAGACCGAGCTGGACCCGGACGTGCTGGACGAGATCCACCACCTCGAGACGAGACTGGCCGTGATCAAGGATCGTCACGGGCTCACCCGCGGAGACGCGGAGGAGAGCCGCTCCCAGAAGTGAGCCATGAGGGCTCGGAGGGTTCCTCAGGCATCCGGACCCCTCCGTGGAAGCCCTACGTGGATGCCATCGTGGAGGAGCAGGTCGGCGACGGGGTGAACGAGATCTACGATGAGGACTATGAGGTGAAGGTTGGCGGCTTTGACAAGGAGCTTTGGGACGACATGGGCGAGGCAAGCCTGGATGTCGCCGCGAGGCTTCCTACTTTCGATGATGAAGTCTATGAAGCTGAGCCTCACCACTCTCAGGATGCCGAGCACCCCGATATCCAAGAGAATCAGACAGTCTACTCCAACTACCAGGTCCCAGCAGTAGGTGAAAGTAGCACCCACGATATCCGAGAGAATCAAACAGTCTACTCCAACTACCAGGTCCCTGTCGATGTCGAGGATAGTGTAGACTGTGGCGCGGACACCTATCTCCTTGACGAGGCTTTCACGCAGTGTGTGCAGGACCGTAGTGGTGCAAGCAATGAAGATCGAGACGGGAGGCCCTTGTTCATCGAGATCCACACGCAGAACAACCAGCTCAGCGAGTTCATGCAGGCCAGCGGCTTTGAGGTGGTGTCCATTGACCTTGTTGAATGGGATCTTGCCGTGAAGCAGAATCGTATAGATTTGGTGCAGTTGATTGTCGATCTTGAGCCAGATGTTGTTTGGTGCACGCCTGAGTACCGCCTCTGGAGGTCCAATCAGTCGCCACGGGACAGGGCTTGTGAACAGGCCCTTGCCCTGAACAAGGACCGGGAACGACATCATCGGCATCATCTTTCCGTGATGAACAAGATCTACAAGCTGCAGACTGCTGGAGGAAGGCTGGCCGTTCTTGAACACCCCAAGATGTCCGTTGCTTGGCGCACCAAAGCTCTAGACAGTCTGGGAGGCTATGCTACCGTGACCGACATGTGCGCCTATGGGGCGGTCCTCACTGATCAAGGCGGTCGGCCCCAGGCCATCAAGGGGCCCACTCGGCTACAGGTGAACCATGAGATGCTCAGCGGCTTGTTGACTCGGCGGTGTGCTGGTGATCATGCACACCTTCCACTTCGCGGGAATCTACCTGACGGTGTTCCTCGAGGCCATGCTGCTCGGGAACATCAGCTGGGTTTCTGCGAGGCCGCCGGGAATGCGATCATTGAGGCCCTCAACACCCGGGCCGATCAGGCTGTGCCAATGAGTCGTCCGGCCTCTACTACACGGATGTGTGAAGATGGCGAAAGACTCGCTGCGAAGAAGCTCAAGGAGGGTGCCTTCTCCGAGGGGGACCTCCTCGAACTGGCTCAGATGTTGCCCCTTTCCCGAAGGCGCCGCCATCGACGGATCTACGGCGGAAAGGACATCAAGATCGAGGGCATCGTTGGCGGACTTTGGACCCATGGCGGCATGACCGGTGTGAGCAGTGCCAGTGGTGAGTTCCCAAACTTTGTGACCTATGTGAACGCGTTCATGAGATCGAGACTTGGGTCAGATGTCAGCTGGAGCTCTTTCGCCCTGAATAAGAACGTGACTACTGGAGTGCACAGCGACTACCACAACCTTCCGGGCCGCCCCAACTACACCTACACTTTTGGCGACTTCGTCGGAGGAGAACTTTGGGTGCGAGACGAACATGTTGGAGAAGGCGAACGAGTGTCCCGCCGTGATGTCAAGGGCAACCTCCTACATGGGCGAAATGTGGATACGAAGGACAAGGTCTACGAGTTCGATGCGAGAGGGCAGCACGCGACCCAGCCCTGGAAGGGAGATCGATGGTGCCTCACCTGCTTTGTGACCCGCGGCTACAGGAACATCCGGCAGGAGGACAAGGATCGACTACGAGCTATGAAGTTTCCTCTCCGACATGCACTCCACGAGGTCAAGGAGAGGAACCACTTGAACTACGACAACCGCCCCAAGAAGAGCGAGCGCCGTCGGCTTTGGAGGACAGCCAAGAGACTGGTTGCCTTGGCTACCTGGTCCACTTTTGTGACGTCCACATGTACTACGACCGGACTACACCCGCCGAACAACTCAGGCTCGGTTGCTCTTTTCGAGATTGGAGACGACGTGAAAACCTTTGAGCTCGAGTCCTCCGAGCTCCTCACCGCCGAGCCCTTCCTCTCTGGAGATTTGGCCGAGGAGACCAGATGGACCGGGGCCTACGATGTGCTTCGTGAACTACGACCTGGAACTCTTTGGATACACGGCGAGGCCGTGACGAAGTACCCCGAACAAATTCAGGACCTCGCATCTGAGCAACTACGGAAGGGGAGACAGGTTGTGTTCGGAGCCAGCAGTACGGCCAAGCCTTTCTGGAATGCCCCCTGGCTCACTGAGATTGGGAGCCTCGCTGTGGATGTTAACTACGAGGTTGTTGGTGAGACGAAGCTGATGAGGCTCAACTGTGTACACCAGGAGAATCAGGCCTACATCACCTGGACCCAAGAATGCAGCAATCCGCATCCCGAGAACGCCGGCTACATGACGACCGACAACAACGCCGGCGAGGGAGCCGACACCGGAGAAGGACCTACTGGGAGCCGGGCTATCAGTTTTACCCCTGGTCCAAAGATAAAGCCCGAGGTGCAGGCGTCTTTGAAGCGCTTACATCAAAACCTCGGGCACATCGGCTACGAGGACATGGGGCGCCACCTCCGACTTGCCGGAGCCGGACCAGAAGTGGTGAGTGCCGCTAAAAGGCTCCGGTGCCAAGTGTGTGCCAGGAACAAGAGAGGAGGGAGTGCTAGACCCTCCTCGGCTCCCAATCTACTGGAGTTCAACCAAGTGGTGGCTGTCGATGCCTTTTCCGCGTACGACTCCTGGGGGAAACGCTATGAGTTCATGTCCATCCTTGACTGCGGTACCTCCTTCCACGTCGTGTTCCCCCTGTCAGGCCACAGCACTGAGACCATGGAGAAGGACTTCTGTGTTGCTTGGAGTCATGTGTTTGGGCCACCTGGGACGCTGGCGTTGGACCTTGAGTCCGGACTCCAGGCGAGCTTCGCCCGCTACAGTGAGTTCTATGGAGTGAAGATCCGTTCGGCCGCCGGACAGGCCCATTGGCAACAGGGAGCCGTTGAACGCCACAATCGTTTGTGGAAGGAGATTTGGGACCGCACTGTGGACGATCACTCTGTGACTGAGGGCGAAGTCCACTTGGCGGTCACCGCGGTTAACAGCGCTGTCAATGAACTTCGGAGAAAACATGGATACAGCCCGAGCCAAGCCGTATGGGGACGCGACCCGGAGATGCCCGGCGAGCTTCTGGACGGCAAGGACCTTGAGCAGTATGACCATGTGATCTCCCGAGACCACCAACGGGCCCGGGAACATGCGCTACGAGTTGCCGCAAAGGAAAACTTCTTCAGGTGTCAAAGCGATGACAAGCTGCGACGAGCTCTCCTTCAGCGAAGCCGTGTCAGTGGACCGGATCTTTCGGTCGGGGACTTCGTGTACTTCTACAGAAAGGCAAAGAATCAGAAGTTTTGGCAATGGCATGGCCCCGCCACCATCATCGGACACGAGGGCATCAACCTCTGGGTGTCCAAAGGAGGCAGATGCCACTTGGTCGCTCCTGAACATCTCAGGAGAGCCACCAGCGAAGAGATTGGGGACGCGTTCGTTCTCAGGACAACTCAAGCCGACCTCGAGAAGATCCTTGAACTCGACCCCGACGAGATTCTCTTCGAAGGCGACGACCCAGCTGAAGGAGATCCCGAGATGGCCCCCGGCGACGATGATGTTGGTAATGGCGAGGACGAGGACATCCTACTCGGTGGACAAGGTGTTGTCCGTGACGGGGAACATCTTCAGCCCTCTGCCGCGGTGACAAAGCGCTACCGCACGAAAGGGCCCCAGGAACAAGATGACCCTGGAGCTCTGCCCCAGATCCCGGACGACGACTACGACCCCGACCTCGAGGAACCCGAGGTGGAGATGACCGAGACCAACGAGGCTATGATGCTCAAACGGGCCAAGACCGCCCGTGGTCGCGAGAAACAGCTTGAGAAGGAGCTCCCGTGGAGCATGATCCCAGTGGAACAGCACGAGGCCTTCCGCGAGGCCGAAAACAAACAGTACCAAGAGCACCTCGACCACGGGGCGCTCGAACCTTTGACCGTGGAGGAGAGCCAGCGCATCCTACGTGAACGAGGTGACCGGGTGCTGCCTTCTCGCTTCGCCTACCGCGACAAGGCTCTGGCGAAGAGGAGGAAGGATCCGACTGTGGCTTGGAAACATAAGTCACGCCTCGTGATCGGAGGCCACATGGACCCCGACATTGGACAAGGCCTCAACACGATGGCGCCCACCGTTTCGAGACAGTCCATTATGTTACTCCTCCAGATACTCGCCTCTCGTCTACACCAGGGGTGGAACGCCTATGCCGGAGACATCACGGCGGCTTTCCTCAATGGCGGCGAGCTTCAAAGAGAGCTGTACTTGAAGCAGCCCCGGAACGGGTTGGGTGATCTCCATCCTGCCCAGCTACTACGGATCCGAAAAGGGATTTTCGGATTGGTGGATTCGCCCCACGGTTGGTGGGAACGATTCAAGGAAGAGGTCACGGCTCTCCGGCCGGAAGACGAGCAGGGGAACAAATGCCTGGTGGAGCAGTGTCCACTGGATCCATGCGTGTTCTTCGTCAAAAAGATCCTCGGAAGGGATGCGGATGGAGAGTTTCGGCTCACCGAACCTATCGCCTATCTCGCGGTACATGTTGACGACGTGCTACTGATTGGGAATGACGAGATTTGTCAGCTCCTCAAGAAGCTGTTGTCGAAGGTCTTCCCAATCGATGACTGGGAAAGCGGGGCCTTTGAGTACATAGGCTCCTTCATCGAGGTCAACGATAGCTCTGTGAAGGTGTCTCAGGAGAGCTATGTGGAGTCACGACTTTTCCAAGTCGAGATCCCAGCGAGCCAGGCCGACGATGAGCCGGCCACAGAAGAGCAGCTCTTTGACAACCGCAGCTTGGTTGGTGCTTTGTCCTGGCTTGCAGGACAAACGAGGCCAGACCTACAGGCCAGCGTCTCTATGTGTCAGCAGCTGCAGAAGAATCCCACGGCTGGGGACTTGCGCTTTTCCAACCTCGTCGCCAGACGCGCCGAGGAGCACAAAGATCAAGGGGTTACCTTCTACCCCATCGACCTGGACAACGCCGCTCTCCTTTGCTACCACGACGCCGGATGGGCCAACGCTCCACAGGATGCCGATGATCCCTACTACTGCCTAACTGCTGAAGAAGAGGCTCAAGGAGCCTTCAAAGAGGGACCGTTCATGGACAAGCCAAGGAAAACGAAGCGGAGCAGTTCTTGCATCGCTTCGCAGCTTGGTTGCATCTATGTCCTGGCGAATCGTAGCATCCTACATGGAGAGCCCTCACATCTCAGTGTGTTGGACTGGAAAAGCGGTGCTTGCGAGAGGGTGTGCAGATCTACGTTCTCCGCAGAGACAATGGCGTGCTGCACTGCCGTTGAGGGAGGCGACTACCTGGAGAAGTTCCTGGAGACCCTCCTCACAGGTCGCCTCCACCGTCGGGGGCGCGGACGCTTTCACTTGAGGTTTCTGAGCGACTGTCGGTCGCTGTACGACCATCTCACGAGAGATGGGATTCCTAGAGTGCCCTCCGACAGAAGGCTAGCCATCGATTTAGCCGCAGTGCGACAGGACTTAAAGTCCCTTGGTCGCCTTGCTTGGGTGCCCACCGCTCGGCAGTTGGCAGATGTCTTGACAAAGCCAATGAAGAGCCATCAGTGGTGGACCTTTTTGAATTCACCTTTCAGTCTGTCTTTTACAGAGGAGAGATTTTGAGCAGTGTAAATCTGAAGCTCGATTTCTCTCCGGCAGGCCAACATCCGACCGAAGGCACACGTGTTCAATCCGGTGTGCAAAAGTGCATCGGCGCAGGCGGGGCCCTTGGGAGGGTTTCGTTCTTCAGGGTCTTGTTTTCAGTGTTTGGTTTCTTTGAGGACCTGCGGTCTCTCTGCTTCAGTTCTAAACTAAGCCCTCAACCCTAAGCCCTAAGCCCTAAACCCTTGGCTCCGGCTCGGGTTCCTACATTCCATGTGCTCGTATGATACACATATGTATATACACATACACATACATACATACATACATACATACATACATACGTACATACGTACATACATACATACATAATCATACATACATACATACATACATTCGTACATACGTACATACATACATACATACATCATACACACACATACATACATATGCATGTACATGTTTATGTGTGTCTATGTATCTCTGTATGTATATATATATATATATGTATGTATGTATGCATGCATGGCTGTATGTATGTCTGTATGTATGCATAATCTTGTGTGTGTGTGCATAAACGCATATGCATATGCATGCGCATACACATATGCTTATGGATATGTATGTGGACATGTACATGGATATGTACACACATGTGTATATGTATGTGCATATGCATATGTATATGTGTACGTATGTGTATATGTATGTGTAATTATATCTATACCTATACGTATATGTTTATGTCTATTCTTATGTTTATGTTTACGTATATGTATGCTTGCATATGTGTGCATGTATGTGTAATATAAACATACAAACACACAAATACATACATACATACATACGCACATACACAAATACATACAGAAGAGACTGCCCGAGGGCGGACGCTTTGTGCTCAGTACATACGTGGATGTGTAGGTGTGTATGTATGTGTAAATACATACATATGTATTTATATATATAGATAGATACCGATATAGATATAGATATAGTGAACCAAAAGTTGGAACATAGTTTCGGGATGGTTCATGCCGGTTCCCTTTTCTTTACTTTAAGGCCATGAGGATAAGGATGTTCCAATTTTCTGAGACCGTAAACCAACAAGGTGTCCTTCGGAATTTACCTCGAGGCTTCTTTCGAAGCCTCCCCTGAGCCCACCCTAAACCCTAAACTCTAAACCCTAAACTCTAAACCCCTCCCTCCCACCCCGTGGCTCCTGACAGGTAGTCTCCAGAGACCTCAAAAACTCCAGAGCTATATCGTCTATGGGGCCAATAATGATCGAACACAGTTTTGGGGAGCTGCGTACTATAAGCATAAGAAGAACTCTACGACAGTAGAAGCCATAAAGTTGGAACATGACAATCCTCATGCCCTTAAGGTAACGTATGTGGGATCCTGGCAGCAATCATGCTAAACCCATGTTCCAACTTTCTGGGGTTCACTGTCAGGGGATGATACGGGCATGAAGGAAGATTTCGGATTTCTCGCAGCCGCCTATTCAGCAACAGATACCATCATGCCACTGACAAAACCCCCTAGCTGAATAGGAAGAAGCTTTGAAGCTTAAACCTCAAACACGAGACCCTAAACCCTAAACCCTAAACCCTGAACCCTGAACCCTAAACCCTAAACCCCTACACCCGACCCATTCGGGATTGAGTTTAGTGAGTCACATGGGGCTTGGTGAGCCTCGATGTGCGGACCTAGCGGGTTTTCTTAAGCCTAGATAGGTTTAGGGTTTAGGGTTTTGGGTTTAGGGTTTAGGGTTTTGGGTTTAGGGTTTTGGGTTTAGGGTTTTGGGTTTAGGGTATGAAATAGATAGAAGTGGCTTCGAAAAAGCATGGGCGTTCAGTTGAAAAGTCTGGAGTGGGGGATGTAGGTTTGGGGCCGATGGAGGGATAGGGCGGGACCCCAAGCCAGTCAACCAACCTCAACTGTTGCACCTTTAGCTTTGGGACATGGGAGTTTCCGAAATTAGGGGTACCTCGTTATGGGGTCCTTATAATAAGGATCCTACTATTTAGGGTTTAGGGTCCCCTGCTTTCGGAAACCACTGTATTGGTGTGGGGATGCTCACGGAGTCTCAGGGTGTTAGGGGGTGTCATAGCTCCAGTCTGGGAGTTTGTGGTGTTCGGCGTGGTAGGGTTTAGTGGAGTCGCTTTGGATTGCAAGATTTCTGCTTTGAGACCCAGGCATTCGCCGAGCAGACTTTGACTGACAGAGAGGTCGACCCAAAAGAAATGTAGGAAAGATATGCGCCAAAACAGCAACACAATCTTGTGGCAACCTAACACGCCCCCAGAGACTCCAAAACCCCTTAATTAAGGAATATACCTTAAATCATATAAGGGATCCTATTATAATTTAAGGTATATTCCTTAATTAAGGGGTTTTGGAGGCTGTGGGCCCATACTTCAATACGAAACAGTGATGAAGCACAACCTGGAACAACCATAAACCTTGATCTGCGAACCTCTAGAGTGGACTCCGTCCCCTGTTCCTCACACAAGACCCAAGAATAATGTTCGTTGCTGTGAGACCAAGAATAACGATACTGGCTCTTGTTGTCATCATACACCATATTATGGTACAATCATAATCGCAATCCTACTCAAAAACACAACCCCTTACCATAATAATCACCTGTTATTTCCATTATTATGGTACCAGTGCAGCCGCGAAGCTTAATGATCTCCGCCGGGTTCAACCCTTCCTTGAAGGATCAGGTTCGGCTTTTAGGGTTTGGTGTTTGAAGGTTTGGGGCTTTGGGGGTTTGAGGGGTGTGGGGGTTTGGGGTGTGGGGTTTGGGGTTTGGGGTTTGGGGCTTGGGGTGTGGGGTTTGGGGTTTGGGGTTTGGGCGGCGTGGGTGGGGGGAGGAGCAGGTTGCGGCTTTGGTTTGCAGTTTAGGGCTGTTGCATCAAGGATTTGGGGAGTAGGGGTAGGGTTTAGGAGTTGGGCTTTAGGGCTTAGGGTACGTGTTGAGTTGGGCTTGAAGATCAGATGGGACATGCGGCGTCCACGGTTTGAGTTTTTGGAACTTACTGTTCTCGGGTTTCGGGGAATCTGGCGAGCGGCGAGCACTTAAAGGATCATGGGAGTTGGTAACTAAGGTGCTGTTAAGGAAACCATGCTTATTTCCACTCAGCTGATTCTTCCTCCCTCCCACAGCCTGGCTTCTGGTTGTAGACATTGTAGTCCGGTGGTAATTGTGTCACGCATCTGCTTGTACCGCGTTTTTGCTCCAGCCTCCACACTGTCAAGCAGCGCGGATCTGTCATTTGCAACTGCCACAGCACCAGGTTCAGAATCCCCTGAAGCCAGATCTGTGGTCGATAGGGATGCTAAAATTGCTAACATGGTGCCAGCATCATGCAGGCGCTTGCCAACAATGTATGCCACATTGTCCAGTGGCTGCTTATGGCTTACTTGAGGATCATGGGACTTGGTAAGTATGGTTATAAGTACCTTAATTGGGGTTATAAGTAGTTATAAGTATAGTTGCCCTAGTAATATCCTTCCTACCAAGTCCCATGATCCTTTAAGTAGGATGAGGGGTTCACGTTGAGGGTGCAGGGCACAGGGCTGCAGTGGAAGGGCTAAGGGTTCCAGTTGTAGGGCGTCGGGTGTAGAGCTTCGTGCGTAAGGGTTTAGGGTGGGTTTAGCACTTGACATCGTGAGGAAGCGGTCTGCAAATTAGGACAAGTCTCAAGTCGAGCGTGAGGGCTGCCGGGTGATTCTACCAGTGAATCAAAGGAAGCAAGAACAGAATCCGTCCGCAAGGGAAGCGGATCATGTCGATAGCTGTCGCAAGGATGGTCAGAGTTGCCGCACACCGACAGCAGCGGCAGGGCAGTAACTGAAACGGCGACCGCAACAGCCGGAGATGGCAACGACATAACAAAACATCAAAATGCGTCCCCATACTACAGAAACCTTGTGTTCTCCTGCGTGAGTGGGTTTTCTACATTAGGGTCCCTTCAAGAATCCTTCTTGGAAGGGGCCCAGAGAGCCCAATACCCCTTAATTAAGCTATATACCTTAAATCATAATATGAAGCCCTATATGATTGAATCCATATTGCTTAATTAAGCAAAATTGGGTTTTCTAGGGGTGCCGTTCCGAGTGTCCGCTGACAAGTAAGACAAGGCCGTGTCTGAGGCGGTGCCATCGTCAGAGTCGAAGAAGATCCTGGGATGCCGCTTTGGGTTTCAGAGCCTCGGGTCAAATAATATACTGTAATATATTATAATTCACTATAACATACTGTAATATGCTATAATATACTCTAATGTACTATAATATACTATAATATACTATAATGTACTATAATGTTCTCAAAGCCAGGTTGGGTACTGCCCCCATGCAGTAACAGCCTATAACAGGGCTACTACAGCACTATTTCGAGCATGCTTCTTCATTCGTGTTGTGCCGTTGCTGGTGCCGTTCATGTCAGACGTTCAATACGGAAATCGCTCATTGACCTCGTTTCTTCTCAGCGGTCATAGTGCCGAAAGCGGAATCGAACCAACATGAATCGTTGCGAAACCCTGTGACGTTCTTGAACAGCCTTTACATAAGCCCTCAACCTCAACCACAGCTGACCCCAGCACCTCTCCGGCAAGGTGCTGTGGCTTCCCCTGCTGCTTTCCCTGTCGACGCAGCACCTTTAGCTTGAGGATCAAAATTTACAGCGTATAGGGTTTGTGGTGTTGGCTTGAAAATTTAGAAGTTATCGTTCAGTCGTGAACGCTGCGAGTCTGAGTTCCAGGGTATAGCTTCAGCAAAGGACGCAATGGGATCCAGTGCCGAAGGGTCTCTCTTTGGCCCAAGGCATCTGAAGTTCAAGGAAGTCGCTGCTGATATAGCGAAAACATTGTCGAGAACATCCCTGTCAAGCTTCCCTTACATATCTACAGCATTAAATTCATTAAACCCCAGCCTAAACCCTAAAACCCTGAACCCTAACCCCTAAACCATCACTCCCATCTACCGATTCAAGCCTGCCGCCTGACCCCGAAAGAGCCATGACTCACAAGAAGCTTCCGCTTCGGATTCTGACTCACCCTGGGCCCTCAAAAAAAAACCTACAGCAACCCTTACGGGACGCGCACTTGGAGGTTCAGGGGTATTTATACGTGGGGTTATAAGTCCCCTAATATGGGTTATAAGTATAGTTACCCTACTTATAACGACCCATGAACCTCCAAGCAAGGGGAACCCTTGAAGGAAACCCCCCCGGCACCTTCGCCGACCGCCGCTTGCTGCTGGCCTCCTTGGCCTGTGGTCGCAAGAACACTCTACTCGCCTTTCCGAGGTTTAAGGTTTACGATTTAGGGCTTCGTGTTGAGAATTTAGGGTTTAGGGTGTAGGGTTGGGGGTTTAGGGTTTCGGGTTTGGGACTTCGGTTTGGAGTCCAGCGTTTAATATCCCTTAGTTAAGGAATATACCTTAAATCATATGTAAGTAGAGGTATTTCCTTAATTAAGGGATATTGCCTTCAATTGGAACGGTTCCGGCACGCCGCAACCCGTATCGCGACCCCCACTGATAAAACCTCCCGCGCCGCAGCCCGTATCGCGACCCGCACTGGTGGAACTTGTCGCACCGCACCGCTGGAACCTCCCGAAGCGCAGGACATATCGCGCGGACCCAGTTTGAACACCGTGCAGTCCTGAAGGACGAAATGACCCTTAAAAGTAGGGGCCCTATACCCATATACGATGATTCCCTATATGGTATATGAACCTTAAACCCTTTTAGGGTCCATTTCGTCCTTAAGGGTATCGCGACCGCCAGTGGAACCCGGTGGAACCTCCCGGTAACGCGACACACACCGGTGGAACCTCCCGCGCCGCCCTTATCGCGACGCGCTATCGCGACCCCTACCGATGGAATCTCCCGCGTCCCATGTACGTGGACCCGTTTGGGAAATCTAAAGGAGAGCCCAACCCCCCCAAAGAGTTTTAATGAATAACCCTGAACCTTCTCAACCCTAAACCCTAACCATAAGGCCTAAGCCCCCAACCCTAAAGAAACCCTAAACCCCCTCAAACATCCCCAAACCCTAAACCCCAAAACACCAGAAAGCCCTAAACCTAACCCTAAGCTCCAAGCCCTACTTGGAGGTTCATGGGTAGTTATAAGTAGGGTTATAGGTAGGGTAACTATACTTATAACCCATATTCGGGGACTTATAACCCTAAGCTCCAAGCCCTAAAACCCTACAAATCCGCCCCGGAGGGCCTTCTCCTCCAAGCCCGGAACTGACGCCAAGAGGTCGAGCTGCTCGTGGAGCATGTCATACCTACCAGAAGGGCCCCTTCTGGGTGCCTTTAAGGGTTCCTTCAAGGTTTAGGGTTTAGGGTTTAGGGTTTAGGGTTTAGGGTTTAGGGCTCAGACCCTCAACCCTAAACCCTAAACCCTCTACAGGTCCCTTAAGGGGGGGCCCCTGGCTCCTTGAAGGGTTCCTTTAACGGTTCTCACGGCTTATAGGGTCCGGGGTTTAAGGTTTAGGGTTGAAGGTAAGGGTTCCTTACATGGGTTTTGCTTATATGGCTCATTTAAGGGTGCCTGAAGGAATTCTTGAAGGGTAGGTAAATCAGGGGTTTTATAGGAGGGTGACGGGGCTTGCATAGGGGGCCAACACTGGGCCAATACTTAGAATACTTAGAAAAGAAGCGTCTTCTGCTTTCAATACATAGGGGCTATAAGGGTTGTTTGGCATTCGGCGCGCTTGCGGTTTGCACATTTGGGTTTGCGCTTGTTGCCGATTGAAGGGCGTTGGAACTGCGAGGGTTGGGGGCTGAGGTTTTCGGGTTGTGGATTTGAGGGTCAATACTGAGTCACACCTTGGTGCATTCGGGCGTTTAGGAAGTCTTGTAGGGGCACTCAGACACACACACACACACACACCATGCAGGGGATTCCGGGTTCAGCTCATGCCCAAGCCTCTACACACAATACCAAAACCCTTATACCCTATAGACCCGAGAAGACATAAGACCAAACAAGATAGTACTGGGGCTCCCATGCCCTCGAAAAATTTCACCCGAAATTCCTAAACTCTAAGCCCAAACTCCCCCAACAACACTCCAAACCCTAAACCTCCAAGCCCAAATCCCGTTAAAGCCCCGAAACCCGCGAAACCCCCCAGAAGCTAAACGGCCCCTAACTCTGGACACCAGCTGATCCGAGCCACTGCTCTGTCAGTAGCTCAGTGTGCTCAGACATGAGATTCATAACATCCTCGCGCAGGCTTTCAACTCTCTGACTCTCAAAGAGCCCCGGTATCGGTGAAAGGGTCTAATGTAGGAACCCTAAACCCTAAACCCTGAACCCTAAACCGTAATACTTAGAATATAGTTTGGGGTCCCTTTATAGTATATTTATAATCGGGAACCCTAAGGGATAGTATTGGTAATCATTTCGGCTTCTATAGTAGGTAGGGTTTAGGGTTTAGCATTGACGTAGATTGGGTTAAGGGCTTCCGAAAAGGATCGGGGGACTCGGCAAGAAGGGCTGGAAAAGGGCAAGTAGAGATGTTTCCAGGTATATATAGGCCCCAACTAGGATGCTTACTTAAAAGCTGGGACTACCCATAAAATCTGGTAGTCGAGCTTGGGGCGTCTGGTGACGTGGCTCTAAGAAGAGTCCAAGGAGGGGCCAAGGTAAAGTCCCTCACAATATGAACGCAGCGACTACACCGCCAAATCACAGGTACAAAGCCACCATAACAAACGAGATAGGACCCACACTAATGAAGATCGTGGATAAAGTCTACTAAATCCTAAACCCTACTTGTGGGCCAAAAGACCTACATTTTTAAGGAAATATATAGAAACCACAGTAAGAAATCCTAAGAAGGCCCCTGAACCCAGAACTCGGAGCCGACATCGCGAAGTTCGAGCATCAAGACCTGCAGCCTGAGCCCTAAACCCTATACCCTGAATGGGTGGTTGTCAAAATTAGGGTCCCTTTTTGGGTCCTTTAAAGGGTTTGTTAAGGGGATCTATAAGGGTTCTATAAAGGGTTTACGGTTTAGGGAGATATGGGTGGTTGTCAAAATTATGGTCCCTGTTTGGGTCTTTATTATAGTACGGCACCTAATACTTAGGGTACCCAAAAAAGGACCCTAATTTTGACAACCACCTAAATGCAGCCTGCAAAGCAGCCTGCAAAGCAGCCTGCAAAGCAGTCTGCAAGAGGCTTCAAGTCGATCCTTGCGGATGAGCTTTCGAATTTCCATGACGGAGTACCTGCAAAGGTCTACGGCGGGGTTTAGGGTGTTAGGTGTAGGGTTTAAAGACCTTTGGGTAGGGGCTTGGGGTGTAAGCTGTAGGGCTAAACCCTAAACCCTAAACCCTAAACGCTAAACCCTAAACCCTAAACCCTAAACCCTAAACCTAAGCTGTAGGGCTGAGGGCTTTAAGCGTCGGACGTTTTAGGGCGTCCGACTGGACCGCTTCTCCTCGTCTCGCGTTTCGGCGTAGCTAAGGCGGTGCTTGTCGGTTTAGGGTTTAGGGTTTAGGGTTTAGGGTTTAAGATGTCGGGTAGAGCTGGCTGCACTTAGGGCCAGCGCGTCCCTCCCATTTAGGTCAGAGCCCGTGCAACTCCGAAACTTTTAGATTCAAAGGGAACCCTACTATAGAACCCCGCAATACCCTTAAAGGGAGCCCCATTATGCCCTCAAAGGAACCCTATATTGAAACTTGCCTCCGAAGGATCTGCAAACACTCGGACTTCTAAGAGGGGTTTAGGGTTCAGGGTTCGGGTGTGTTAGTCTTCTTTTTCAATGAAACGAGGCATGCGTCTCTTGGTCATGTAAGGTTGGGAGATATAGGGCCCACTTGGAGGTTCCTGGGTAGTTATAAGTCGGGTTACCAGTCCCCTAATAAGGGTTATAAGTATAGTTACCCTACATATAACCCTACTTATAACTACCCATGAACCCTAATCCCTGTACCCGTATAGAATCCCTAGAGGATCCCTTTAAAGGAACCCTTAAAGGAACCCTACTCATAGCTACCCATGAACCTCCAAGCAGAGGTTTAGCGTCCAGGGTTTGGGCTTCGACTCACCCTTGTCCTTTTAGAAATGATAGACAGAGCCTTATACCTATATCCCTTAGTAGGAATTATTTAAGAAGGTCTACTAGCCGGTCTATTTATTCTTTTGGGGGAACCATGAAAAAGGACAAGGCTGCTTCGACCTTCTGCACCCCCATGATTCTCAGGCACACGGCATTGAATCCGCAACCCAGGCCTCTGAACCTCTAAACCGTTTTAGGGTTTAGGGATTAGGGCTTAGGGTTTAGGGTGTCTCGCGGCGCAGCGGCAGTATTTTCTATGTAGGATGGCGCCCCAACACTCCCAGGGGTGTGGGGGGGCGGCATATCTACGTCTAGCGTTCGAATGCGATTCCACCACCAAACAATTACACATTGGTTCCTGACCTTTTCCCACCTGCTGTGAGAATACACAGGCTACCACCCAAAATATTGCCTTTTAGGGTTTAGGGCTGATGCCCACCTGCCCCTGGTCTGTCTGTTGGCCGCAAGAGCCAGGTGGCCAGGGCCAGGGGGGGGCCAGGGGCCAGGGCGGGCCGGCCCAGGGGGCAGGGCAGAAAGACGCCAGGTCTCCGCCTAGGACCCGCCAGGTGCCCCCTGACCCGGCCTGTGGGGCCTTTCCTGAAGGGAGCCAAATGGAAACGGCCAACAAGGGATTTGGTCGTCGGGTTTAGGGTAGTCTAATCTCTTGAGATTCGAGGGAATTCCCTCTGCGAATCTGGGCGCCACGCAAGGGGCCTAATGGCTTGGCTCAGCCCTAGGGGCTGAATTCGACCACTCTCCTCTGGCTCCACCCATTGTCCATCCAGAGTTGGTGTCAATCACTGCCGGATTTCCTTCGAGGTCCAGGCACCCTAAGAAAAAGGGTGGGTACGGCCTAAGCAGGCCTGGGTGGGGGATTAGGGATTAGGGTTTTGGGTTTAGGGTTTAGGGACTAGGGTTTAGGCTTTAGGCTTTAGGGTCTAAACCGTTCTAGAAAGCAAACAAACAACCAAACAACCAAACAAACAAACAAGAAATACTTGCACCCTTCACCCTCAAACCAGAACCCTCAACCCTAAACCCTAAACCCTAAACCCTAAACCCTAAACCCTAAACCCTAAACCCTAAACCCTAAACCCTAAAGCCGAAGCTTCAAATCTTAAACCAAAGTGAAAGAAAGACGAGCCTGATCAGGGAGTTCATCATCAGAGGGTCCCTCTTGCGGAAGTTTCCCAGCTGCTGGCAGAACTCCACGTAAGAGACCTCCGAAGTAAGGAAATCAAGGCTTTGGGGTTTAAGGTTTAGGGTTTAAGGTTTAGGCTTTAGGGTTTAGGGTTTAGGCTTTAGGGTTTAGGGGTTTAGGGGTTAAGGTTTAGTATTTTGGGTTTAGGGTTTAGGATTTATTGTAAGAGCTGCCACGCACATGAGTTTGCACGCATGCCGCATATGTCACTGTAGGCACTTCCGATGCAGCGTCGGCGCAGACTCGAGGTGCTGTCGACACTTTGGGTTAAGGTTAAGGTTTAGGGTTCAGGATTTAGGGCTTTGGGCTTCGGAGAGGGAGCTAGTCGCTTGAAGCCCCACAAATCCGTGTTTGCGGCGGTGCGGTGCAGGCAGTCATGAAGGATGGGTGGGTTTAGGGGTTCAGCCGTTTAGGGCTTCAGAGTCTACTAGTAGTACCCTCATAGATCCCTTATAGTAACCCTTATAGACCCCTTTATAAGGCCCCTTTCATTCCCTACTAACCAAAGATAAAAATGGGGGTCCGAGGGGTTTGTGGGTTTGGGACTATGGTTCAGCTTTCAGAGGTTGGGGTTCAGGGCTAGGCTGGGGAATGAGAGCATGTGGCTTTGGGCTTCGGGGTGCGGCTAAGGGATTTGTGTAGGGCCTGCGCTCCTCCCACAGACGTGTGGTGCTCACACTGCGGTAGGCACGTTTCCAAAATATGTGGGGCGCAAGATCAGGGACCTTCGAAATACGCATGATGCGGGACGCTATGCAGGGTCTTTGCAAGAGCCCTTTTGGACTGGGCCACCGTCCATGTCTGGCTTTACGGCTTATGCGCCTGAGCCATGCATTCTAAGCCATACATCCTGACTCGGATGTCTCATCATCATCATGTGTTGCGCAACCCTCATGCATAAATCCTTTGTGGGCTCATCCGGGACGAACTCATAAACTGCAAGCACCAAACAGGTACGCCCAGCACCCTCCCCCCCCACCCGCCACGAAAGAAACTGATAAATGACTGTAACATCATAGCTGGCATGATACCAGCAGTGGTGCTGATAACAAAGAGTTCTCATGATAACGATAAGAAGCGAAAACGGTAGTACCACTGATAAAGCCTCATGATGCTGCAAGGAGAACGACAGCATGAACAGCAACAGTGATGCAAATGAGTAGTAACTCTGCAGACTAACATGCTAGCATCAGCTACACTCACCTGTGAACCCGAACCCTAAGACTACATCACCCATGAACCCCAGCCCTAAAGCCACATCACAAATGAACCCTAATCGGCCCTACTTGGAGGTTCATGGGTAGTTGCAAGTAGGGTTATAAGTAGGGTAACTATACTTATAACTCATATTAGGGGGACTTATAACCCAACTTATCACTATCCCTGAACCTCCAAGTAATTCTAAAAGATTGAACCTAGACCCGACGTTCTGACTCTCTTCTTCAACAACCGGGCCCCAAAAAATTCAAACTTTTTGAGATAGAGCATATATATATATATGTAAGGCCAAAAAATTTAAAGTTCCCCCGTTCACTAAGCTGAACAGTACCCGGCCTCTCCGGAGCTGTCGTGGTCCAAAACATTGAAAATTGTCTCCTTGGCGGTTTAGGGCAGCCTTGGAGCTTACTTGGAGGATCATGGGACTTAGCAAGTAAGGTTATAAGTACCTTAATTGGGGTTATAAGTAGTTATAAGTATAGTTACCCTAACAATAACCTTAGTTACTAAGTCCCATGATCCTTTAAGTAAGCCTAACACCCCTGTTATGGAACCCTTGTAGATCCCTTTTAAGGAGCCCTTTAAAGAACCCTATAGTTAATCCTTTAAGCTTAAGGGGGGTTGGAGTTTGTGATGTGCGCTTTAGGGCTCAGGGTTCAGAGCAACACTCTTTAGGGCTGCGCTTAGGGCTTACCTGGACCCTAAGGACCCTACCTTTTTTTAAGGTTCCCTAGTTTGATTTCTTTATATAGGTCCTTGAAAAGGTAGGTTACTTGGGGTTAAGGTACAGTTTGGAGTTTGGGGTTTAGGCTTCCGCCGTCAGACGATTCAGCTCTAGCACTATGGGCAAGGATTAAGCCAAGCCTAGGCCAAAAAGTTGATAATGTACGGGCCCTTAGTAATTAGAACAAGGTTTGGCGGGTATCTTTAAAATATAGTTCTATTAAGGAACCCTAAGGGATAAGATTGGTATAGTTTTGGGCCCTTAGAATAAGCAGATTGAAAACAGGAACCTTCTGGTCTCTGTAGGCTTCTATAAGCCTCACACCCTAGACATTCTAAACCTATAGAAACCCACAAAAAAACCTGTGAACCCACAGAAACCTATCGTAAAGCCCCTAAACCCTAAACCCTAAACCCTAAACCCTAAAGCCGAGATGGCTGAAGGTCACCTGCTCAGATTGCAAGTTCACCTCCCAAGCCTCGATCCAGGATCCTCTTTTTTTAGGGTTTAGGGTTTAGGGTTTAGGGTTTAGGCTTTTCAGGATTTAGGATGTTGGGTGCGGACATCAGGGTTTTCGGGTTTAGAGGTAGTGGGTTTAGGATTTCAGGGTCTAGTGCTCACAGATAGGGAGCCTGAACCTTCATCTCAAACTCCCCACAAGCACCTCAGCGCCGAAATGCTGAGCCGAAACCCTGAATAACCCAACGGGTTTAGGGTTTAGTACCCCAAAACTAGAGCCCTGTCCGCAAATAAGACCTCACACGGCGAGCCACCACTGAAGCAGGTTGAGAGGTCAATGCTTGAAGTTTGGTCCAACGTGGGCCCTTTGCAAGCATTCCCCAAAAGCCCAAAACTTCAAGCAGCCCAGCGTCCATGTCAGTTCTACGAATGTCCATCACCTGCCCCAGGTTTCGGGCTTAGGGTTTAGTGAGGGGTATACCATTCTGCGGTTTTGTCACAACCCGATACCTCGTTTTTCAACAACAACAACTCTCTCCCAAACGAACCTTGCAAAACCGAAAACCCGAAGACAACCTACCCTGCTGCAGCACAGACTTCGGCTGTTCGGGCGTAGTCTCTTGGAAGCAAGCCCATAAAGCCTACACTCCCCAAACACGAGACCCTGAACCCTGCCTAGGATACCCAGTAACCTAAGAATAAAGCGGCCTCTCTTTTTGGTATTGGGCAACTTTATAAGGAACCTAGGACTACAACAAGGGAATAAGGGTACTACTGGGCATCCTAGCTGCGCCCCAAACCTGAACACCGTACATCCTCGACCCCAAACCTGCAGCACTGGATCCGAATCTCAGGGTTTGAATAACAACCCAGAGACTCCAAAACCCCTTAATTAAGGAATATACCTTAAATCATATAAGGGATCCTATTATAATTTAAGGTATATTCCTTAGTTAAGGGGTTTTGGAGGCTCTGGGAAGGGTTCTACATTAAGGGCTGATCCTAAAGCATTCTGAACTCTATCCGGATAGACAAAGAGCTCCATGTATTAATTTAGATGTAAGTCCAATCACTTCATCTTTCAGATCGAAGATCATGCCGATTTTAACTCTCATAATCAGAAGCCATGCAAGGTGGTATTTGGGGTTTAGAGCGTAGGAAGAGTCAAAAGGTAGAAAAGAATATGGTTTAGGATCCGGAGTTTAGGCAGGATCCGAAGCCATGATTCCTTCACGAGCGGGTATTGAGCTCTCTGGCCAACTACGCATGAAGTACTGCAGGACATCCTTTCCTGAGTCTCTGAAGCAAGCAACCCGTCGAGGATTTCCAATAAGTCTGAAGCAGGTGTGCAGATGCTTCAAACTGAACCCCACGTTAGCTCTGAAGCCCTCGCGAAACATAAATCCTTGCAAAAAGTTCAAAGAAAGCGCCCTTCATCCTAAACTCCTAAACCCCCTCTGCGCCCCAAACCCTACACTCCTGAAGCCCTAAACCTTCGAACCCCTGTCGCCCTGAAGCCCGCACCTCAGAGCACAAACCTCCGAAGCTCAGCACTACTCCGCTATTATCTTCTGGCTGCGTGTTGAATCCAGGGCTTCGGGTTTAGGGTTAATATAGGGGCCTTGATAATTAGAATAGCCTTTTGGGGCCCATTATACTATAATTCTAACAAGGAACCCTCAAAACAGTATTGGTTTTATTTAGGCCCCTATATTAAGGGCTTAGGGTTGGGTTACGAGCTTTGAGTTTGAGGTTTGGAGCTAAGGTTTAGTTGTCAAAATGACAGTCCCTTTTTAAGGTCCTTCTCATCAGGGTGAACTTTCTATTTAGGGTGCCTGAAACGGGACCCTAATTTGGAGAACTACCCTTATGGTTTTAGGGACTTTCTGTGGGATGGGAAGGCCTGCATGAGCGAGGCGAACTGATGGTTGTTGTCGAAGCCATGCCTCTGCTCTAAGGCTAGGGTTCAGGGTTTAGACTAGGGTGTTGGGGAATCGGGTGTAAAATGGCTCAGGGTTTTCGGTTCAGGGTTCGGGTTGGGGTTAATAAGGCTGCAGGCTTAGAACGTCGGCTGGACTGGAAACTATGGCATAGCGTCAAAAGAACAAGAACTTGCACGTAATGCCAAGCCCCAGCCTATATGGTGGAACATCCCCTCGCACGATAGGGTTTAGGATTTAGGACCCTGCAGTGCTCCAAGCCTTCCCTAGCCTCGGATTTCGGGTGAGCTGAGTCTTCGTTGGGATTCCCAGAAGGGTTGATATGAGGGCCTTGATAATTAGAATAGGGTTTGGGGCCCCTTTGTACTTTTCCTATAATAAGGAGGAATCCCCCAAATAGTCTAGGTATCTATTAAGGCCCCTATATTAGAAGGTTGTTAGAAGTGTCCTATCAGGGTTTCTGGTAAGCAGTGCTATAGGGGTTTAGGGTTTAGCTTTCTGGCTTTGAGGGTCAAGGCTTTCGGGTTTAGGATTTTCAGCTTTGTACGGGACTTACTTCAAGGGTCATGGGACTTAGTAACTAAGACTAAGGTTCTTATTGGGCTAACTATACTTATAACTACTTATAACCCCAATTAAGGTACTTATAACCTTACTTACTAAGTCCCATGATCCTCCAAGTACGGCTTTAGTCTTTAGGCTTCAGGGGCTTAGGCTTCTCGATTTAGGACTTAGGATTTGGGGTTCAGGGGCCACGGTAATCGCTTTTATGTTCAAGCTTCGAACCCACAGACTCCAAACTCCCTTGATGAAGGAATATTCTTTAAATCATATTAGCGATCCTACTGTAATTTAAGGTATATTCCTTAATTACCTAAACTTTCCATTGGCAGCCCAGGCTCAGCATCTCTTCGAGAGACAAGGAACCACTGCCATCGCGATCCATGCTGTCGCCTAGTTGTAGCCAAGAGGCTCGGTTCGCAGGATTTCAAGGTTTCTAGTTTTTGGTTGCTGAGTCTTTGGGGGGCTAAGGGTTTATGTTTGACTACTCCTCCTGCTGCTGCTACTACTACTGACTAGTTCCAGTACCCGTGCCACTGCCGAGCACTTACAAGTAGAGCACTAGTACTGACGCTCCCAACTGCTACTCGTATTCGATGCTGGTGGAATCCTGCTACCAGTACTGGCAGCAGAAAAAGCACTAGCACCAGTACTAGTACTGGTACTAAGAATACTAGTACTCCTTGTAGTGGTAGTAGCCGTCGCCGTCGTAGTAGTAGTGGTGCCTGCTGATTCTGCGTCTACTACTCCGAACGACGACGACGAAATAACAACCAAAAGGAGCAGTCGTAACAGCAACAGCAACAACAACGGTTAACCCTAAACCCTAAACCTTTTTACCTGGAGGTTCATGGGTAGTTATAAGTAGGGTTATAAGTAGGGAAGCTGTACTTATAACCCATATAACCCATATTAGGGGACTTATAACCCTTCTTATAACTACCCCTGAACCTAAGTAGGCCCTAAACCCTCTACCCTTATGGAATCACTATAGACCCCTTTAAAGGGACCTTTTAAAGAACCCTTAGAACTACCCCTGAACCTCCAAGTACGGCAGGCCACATAACAGGGCAAGCTCGACCATGTGCTTCTCGCGCTCCGCGTCCTCGAAGCAGGGGCAGAACTTTCCAGCTGCTACGGTTTTGGTGGGCTCAGGGTTTAGGATTTTTAGTGTTTAAGGTTTAGGGTTAAGGGGCTTAGGTGGTGTAGGGGTTTAGGGTTTAGGGGGTTAGGGTTTTGGGGGTTAGGGATTTAGGGTTTAGGATTTGGGGTTAGGGTTTGGGTTTAGGTGGGTTATATGGGTTGTGCGAGGATTCCATAGGTTTAGGTATAGAACTTAGGGTCTATGAAGGGTATAGTGTACATGGAAATGGTGGGCTTTGCCCTTGAGATCTGGAGTTCAAGCATTGGGGTTCAGATGGGTTCAGTGTGTGGGAAGACTGGCTGAAGCTTGAGTGCGGGGATGAGGTGTTGAAAAGCTCGGTGCTGCAAAGCTACACTTCAGGATCTGGAATTAACACGGATCCGAAACTCTGAATCCTCATGATAATGAACCTGCGATTTTGAGCCTATACTAAGCCCCCTACGGTTGATGATATAAATCCTGCATTACCTTAAGGACCCCAAACTATGGGAAGTATGGGATATTCCTTATGATGGGTAATGCAGGATGTATATCATCAACCGTACTCCCCAAACGCATCACAAGAAATACGAGGCTCCTCGTATACCCCTAAACCCTAAACCCTAGACACCTCTTCGAAAAGCTGAAGCCAGGACGACCTGGCCTACACCCTCCTGAACCGAAATCCTATGCGGTACGGCGCCGGGGAAACGTTACGATCTCGACCTGATAGCTGCAAAATTTGGGGTTCATCATTATTGGGTTCAGGTTTAGGGTTCAGGGTTTTTTTATTACCTCGCGTCTTTTGGGGATCCGCCAGACTTCCAAGTTTGGATGAGGTGTGTGCATGCCTGACAACCCTCAGGGTTTCGGTCTTAGGGTGAAGTTTACGGAGCTGGAGCTTCGAATCCGAAACGGAGCTACCCAGAGACTCCAGAACCCCTTAATTCGCCTCGGCCCCGGCCAGAGGTTCCTATTCGGATTTCCTCTATTCCCCACCTCTTAATCCCCTCCCCAGTAACCCCACCCCCAAAATCCTGGCCACCGCCCCCCCCCCCCCTAAAAAATGGAAACGTGTCCATGATCCGGCGGTGAATTTTCGTGGATTTTGGCTTTCTGTAGGCAGTCCCACCCAATTTTCTTCCCCCCCCTCCTTCCCCGCCCACCCCCCTCCCCCCCCCCCCTCCCCCCCCTCACCCCCTCGTAGCATCTTTGTGTGTTGGGGCTCGCCTTTAAGGCTGCAGTACCAAGCCCACACCGCTTGCACCACCGGCTCCGGTGGCACCCAGCGGCCATGCATGGCTGCCGTCTCTATTTCTTGCAAGGCCTTAATGACTTCAAAAAACTTTAACTCTATCAAAAAAACCCCAGCAGGGTCTTAATCATTGTTTGGGCCCCTATGTTGGTATCGAATTGATGGCTTTGCGTCTCAGGCTTGTTTTAGACGCCCTTTCGTTGGGATAGGCGGAGTAACGTGGTTGAAAAGGCTGTGATGCTTCCCTAATCCAAGACGCCCACGAAATCCACAGCCTCAACGGCCCATACTTAAGGCATCCCGCCGCTTGCGAGAGTCTTGGTATCCAGTGTTTCGGAATGACGACACCAAAATTCGTACTGATACTACCACTACTAATACTACTCACAATCATCCTGCTTCGTGTTGCTATGAACATTACTTTTACTATAAGTGCGATTCCAACTGTAGTAGCCACTCGCCGCATGCGCGTACAGCCGGGCCGAGGCGGACGACGCGCAGCGTTTCAATTAAGGCATATACCTTAAATCATATAAGGGATCCTGTTATAATTTAAGGTATATTCCTTAATTAAGGGGTTTTGGAGGCTCTGGGTAGTTGAGCGGTCCTTTCTTTGCATCTTCCTGGTCTGGTCATTCTCCCGTGCTTCGGCGGCCCTTTCCACAATGACCTCAGCTTCTTGTGGGTGTCGGGGCCCTAAACCCTCCTTGGAGGATCATGGGATTTAGTAAGTAAGGTTATAAGTACCTTAATTGGGGTCATAAGTAGATACAAATATAGTTACCCTAATAATAACCTTAGTCACTAAGTCCCATGATCCTTTAAGTAAACCCTGAAGAAGTACGACAACGAGGGTTTGCAGGCGCGTTCCACTGGAACCACAAGAGCTATGCAGCAGAATCAGCAATGACCCTTTCCGCTCCGAATATATATATATATATATATATATATATAGGGGTCTTGAGAATTAGATTAGGGTCTACGGTTTCGGGTTTAGGGGGGTCTTCATGGTTAGAATAGGGTTTGGGGGCCAATTGCGGGGTGCTTATAATAAGGAGAATAACGATCGCGAGGGAAGAATGTTAGTAGCAATATGGCCCTTACAGCATGCTGATTGCTTCCGTTTCGGATTCGGGGTTCAAGGTTCCGGGCGCAAGGATTACGTGCGTAAGGCTTTCGGGGTTTAGGCTTCTGTTGAGGTTCCTGTCGAAGGGGCCGTTAAGGGAAAATGCGCAAAAAGTGAAGCTTCCAGACAATGCCTCATTTGCGGCCAAAACCCCACGACACCTTCTCGCTTCAAACAGCAGCACACATTACCCCAAAGTCTTCCCAGAACGGCATCACACACACAAGAAAACAAGAGGAACTTCAGATAAAAAGTTACGGGGTTTATGCTTTAGAGTCTAGCTTTAGGGCTGGACGTTCAGAGCTGAGGGTTTAAGGTTCACGACTTCAGGTTTAGGATTCACTGCTGAATGTCAGGGTTGAAGGTTCGGGGTTTCAGGTTTAGCATTCAGAATTTTAGGTTCAGTATCTGGGATTCATGATCATTCAGGGTTCAGGGTGTTGCACGCAGGGTTTCTGAACCCATGCCCCTTTGGGGTTCCATCCTTCCCAACCCCTGAAGGGGTCATACTGGGAGGTTCATGGGTAGCTATAAGTAGGGCTATAAGTAGGGTAACTATACTTATAAGCCATATTAAGGGACTTGTAACCCTACCTATATCTACCCCTGAACATCCAAGTATCGAAACTGACGCAAGAAGAGGCGCTGCGAGGATCAGGTTCATCACGCCCAGGGAAATCGTCATCACGCTGAGGAAGAGAATAGGTATTGTGAAAGGATACCTTGCACGTAGCGATTGGGGTTTGGGGGTTTCGGGGTTGAGGGGTTCGGGTGTGCAATTCGGGATGTAGGGGTCTAGGGCTTGAGGCTTCGATTAGCGGACGGGGGTGTAAAGCCTTACTTCATACCACAGAGTTGCTGCAGCATGCCATGACAACTATTGTATGAGGTCCCCAAACCCTAAACCCCAAACCCTAAACCCATAACGTCTTGCTTTAGGGATCTATGTTGGGACCCTGAAGGTTGGACTGCACAAGACCGTGGGCCAGTAAACACCGTCCTGCCATGTCACCTGAACCCGAAACCCTAAACCTTAAACCCTAAACTCCTAAACCCTAGACCCTAAACCCTAAACCCTAGAACCTAAACCCTATTTAAGTTTGGTTGGGGAGCTAGGTTTAGGGTAGTGCAAGTACGACGACACAGCGCGAGAACGCTGCCATGCTTCGGATGGTTGGTCGGCAGCTCAGGGCTGCGAGTTTCGGACATTGGACACGGAATGGTGCACTACAGTATAGTACAGCAGAGTATGCAGTATAGTATATAATAAAATATGGTATATTGTATGGTATATCAAAGTAAGATATGGTAGTATAGTATAACAGCATAGTATGACTGTCTAATGTATGAGAATATAGGGGTTTCCACAAATTTTTGGATCCCAACATAGCACCCTAAATAGCAGGATCCTTATTTTAAGGACCCCCAAAATAAGGTACCCCTAATTTTCGGAAACTCCCAAACCCTAAACCCTAAACCCTTTGCAGAACCCTTATAGATCCCTGTAAGGAACCCTTGTTAAAACCCTTATAGATCCCGTTAAGGAACCCTTATAGGATCCCTTTAAAAGGTACCCCTAATTTGACACAGCGGGGAGCTCTAGGAGTTGGATCTGCCGAGCAAGAAAACACAGGGGAGAATCCGAAAATAGGGACCCTAATTTAGTACCTTACATAGTAGAATCCTTATTATAGGGACCCCCAAGGTAAGGTACCCCTATTATCGGAAACTCACACCTCCCAAGAGAGAACAGAAGACGAACCGCAGGGCAGAGGACACTGAATGTTATACTACTGCTGATGGTCAAAATCCTGCATGACCCTAAGGACTCTAAACTATGGGAACTATGGCATATTCCTTATAATGGGTAATGCAGGATTTTGTCCATCAACCGTATGGTATATGCCAGCAGAGTAAAGTATGGTATATAGTAGAGAATGTTATGTAGTATAGTTTATATTAGAGTCTATAGTGCAACATACAGTATAGCATATAGATGAACCGCAGGGCAGAAAGCTGGGTGCCCGGCTGCTCAGCAAGAGGAAGAGAGATCTCACCCCAGGAATCTCCTTCCGAAAAGCTGAAACTTCAGGGGCGGTTTAGGGTTTAGGGTTTAGGGTTCAGGGTTTAGGGTTTAGGGGTTTAGGGGTTTAGGGTTTAGGGTTTAGGGCCTAGGGGATTGCGGGCTTCAGTTACTTGTTTTGATCCCTACATAAAGCCGAGGAAGCGGTCCCCTAAGTCATTAAGGTTCAAGGTTGTTAGGGTTTAGGATTTAAGGTTTAGGGTGTAAGGTTTGGCATTTAGGGTTTAGGTATGGTCTGGTTAATTCGATTACGGTCCCTTCGGCTGGCGAGTGAAGAGCTTAAGGGGTCAAGGGCTTATGGATTCTGGTTTGAGGTTACAGGTTGAGTGTTGTGGCGTCTCTCCGTCGAGTGAGTGGGGTGGGGGCCAGACTAGGCATCGTGTGAGAGTCTCTGTGAGAGTTCAGTGTTTAGGGTTTATCTGTCTGCTCAGGTGCTCTGGCGTCTTCATATTGCCTGCTGTTTGCAGGTCTTGCAGACGTTTTTGTACTGGCTTTACCGTGTCTCAGACAACGCCTGAGTTAAGTCCGTTCTCCAGGCCCTCACGCCTTATGGAACCCTGTGCAATCCTTATCATTAGGGTTTAGGCTTGAGGGTTTGGGTACTATCAAAACCCTACAGATAACTTCCTTGAACGGTTTTTTGAAACCGCAACTCCGTTTTTGTAGCAGCACATGTATAGACTAGGATGTACCTGAAGACCCCGCTCCAGTTCATTATGAAGGCCCCTAAGGTGGAAACCTAGGCCCACACGGAGCGCTCCCCTCCCCTAACATGATACCTTGGTATCATCCCCAGAGACTCCAATATCCCTTGATTAAAGAATATTCCTTAAATTGGAGTAGCCTAATATGATTTAAGGAATCTTCCTTAATTAAGGGATATTGGAGTCTCTGGGTCCCCTAATCGATTACCCTTATGTAATTCCCTTCTATCTCCCGCAACGAGACCCGATGCTCTGAATCTAATTAAGCCCGAAAACCCCAAAGCCCTACCCTACCTGAACCCTAAAACCCAATGCCCTCAACCCTCAACCCGTAAACCCTCAACCTAGTCCCAAATGGATCCCCTAAACCCTAAACCCTAAACCCTAAACCCTAAACCTTGATCTCTCCTGCAACAATCTGCTGGAAGATCGTTAGCGCTGCCATTTGCACCGATTCGAAGCCTCGTTGGCCTCGGCTTTCGGGGGTTTGTCAGGCTCGGCTGCTATGAGCGATACTACAACATACAGCTTGCTATAAGGGATACCAAAAGGGATACGAAAAGGGATGCTCGGCTTTTTCAAATATGATCAGTGTTACTACACGGATACTATAAGGGATACTACATGGGATACTATAAGGGGCAGTACATAGCTGTGGATTTCAGAACTTAGGGCTTAGGATGGTGTGGGCACTGAGCACTTGGGCTTTTTTTGGAAGTATCCCTTAGAGTATCCCTTAGAGTATCCCTTCGGGCAACCCTTATAGTATCCCTTATACAGGAGCTTCTGACTTGCAAACTCCTGCTCCCTATCTGAGCCTGTGCCGGAAATTGCGTGAGTGGAGGTCAGCAAAACCGTCGACACCATCCCAGAGACTCCAAAACCCCTTAATTAAGGAATATACCTTAAATTATATAAGGGATCCCATTATAATTTAAGGTATATTCTCCATGGGCAGAACCCATGGAGTCCACAAGAAATCCCCCCGCTCGCTCTCAAGGTGCAGGCTTGGCGACTGTCATGCTAACTTCGGCCGAGACGTAGGCGAAGGGTTGAAATACATCTATCAGATTGATAATCGTATGCACTTGGCTTGACAAAGCGCACAAACTTTAACCTCATCTTCGATGACTCCCCATCTCTATTTGTGCAATTTCAGACAATATGCACTCGCTTTACGTATTCTTGCTTCCGTGGTAAGCCCTAAACCCTCAACCCCCACACTCCAAACCCCTAAACCCTAAACCCTCAACCCTAAACCCTAAACCCCTAAACCCTAAACCCTAAACCCTAAACCCCTAAACCCCTAAACCCTAACCCCTAAACCCTAAACAAATACAATAAGGAACCCCCAAAATAGTATAGGTAATTATTACGGACCCTATATTGGACTATACGGTATTATACTGTGCTATACTATACCCCATGCTATACTATACTTTTCTTTGCTTTAAATCGGCCCAGGCTCAGCGAGGACAGGAGGCGGCGTCGTATTCAATCAGCACATTCCAGGGATGCAGCACCTCCACGGAAACAATGGCCTGAGTTGGCTGTACCGTATAGTCTAATATAGAGTCCTTAATAATTACCTATACTATTTTGGGGGTTCCTTATTATATTTATAGTATAATGGGCTCCAGAACCCGACTCTGATCATTAAGCCGCCTACAGTACCTGCAGTCTGGCTGAGGCCGCGGCCCAAACGAGAATGACGGCCAAGAGCATGACAGATCCAAAGACGATCGCCTTTAAGGAGTGGCTAAGCCCACTCACCTCGTCCATGGTTGGGCTGAGGGTTTTGGGGTTTTGAGGTTTTGGGGTTTAGGGTTAGGGTTTAGGGCGCAGGGTTTAGGGTTTAGGGTATAGGGTTTAAGGCTGCTTATAATCTGAATTCCTTTTCCTTCTTGGGTTTTAAATACCAAAAAACATGTAGAATGTTGCCCAACTATAACAACGTCACCAGGATGTAGAATTCCGGGACAGAGATCACCACCCTTGCAGCCCGCATCAAGCGCACCACGCGGAAAAGCCTGAGGGTGGAGGCGCGGGTTTAGGGTTTAGGCCTTAGGGTTTCGGGCTAAGGGCTTAGGGCTTTGGGTTCAGGGCTTAGGGCTTAGGGCTTAAGGCTTAGAGTGTAGGGTTTAGGGCTCAGGGTTTAGGGCTTAGGGTTTAGGGTTTTGGGCTTAGGGTTTGGGCTCAGGGCTTAGGGTTTAGGGCTTAGGGCTCAGGGTTTAGGGCCACAGACGTGGGAAACTTATGTGAAATCCTGGACAGACTCCGGGACCCCCACCTGAGAACGTTCAAATTCACCGCCGAGGCCAGCAACATGCCTCCCCACCCGAGGAGGACCGTCAGCAGATCGATTTGATTCCACCGGTTCCAGATGTACATACTTCGCTCCACATACCTTGGTGCAAAAAGGCTTCGTGATTTGGAAGGTTCCGAAAATTGGGGGAGAGTTACCTTATTTTGGGATCCTTATACTCAGGATCCTACTATTTTGGGTACTTGTTTAGGGTCCCCGAATTTTCCCATTTCTGGGCGAGCTTCACGAGGAGATGCCTAAACTTGAAGGGCCGGAAAAGCGAATCAACAGAAACAGAAATGGTTTCGGGGTTTAGGGGTTTAGGGTTTAGGGTTTTAGGGGTCCAGGGGTTTAGGGGTTTGGGTTTAGGGTTCAGGGTTTAAGGACCTTTCCAGTAACCCTGAAACAGAAATGAGTTGAGGATTTTTCCAGTACTTGGAGGATCATGGGACTTAGTAAGTATGGTTATAACTACCTTAATTGGGGTTATAAGTAGTTATAAGTATAGTTACCCTAATAATAACCTTAGTTACTAAGTCCCATGATCCTTTAAGTAGCCCTTCTAGTATCACATATACTTTGGTAGCCCTGAATGTATGTAGTAACCTACACCAGGAGAAGCATAATATAAGGGGACACGTAAATACCAATACTGTTTTGCTGTCTCCTTATGAAATTATAGTATAATGTGCCCCCAAAACCCTATTCGATTTATCAAGGCCCTAACACTAAGCCCCTGTAAACCATAATAGACCCCCTTTGAAAGGAACCCTAAACGCCAAACCCTTTTCTAATTATCAAGGCCCTACATTACCACAGCCGTACCCAGGGACGCACGGGCTCCACACTCCAGGGAGTAGACGACAAGCAAGACGACGTTAAGGATTTGCAACCACTGCACATTGAAACTGCCTCCAGGGCTCAGGGGGTGTGGACGGAGGGTTGGATGAAGGTCAGGTGTTTCGGCTTAGGCTTTGGGGTGAAGAATGGTTAACGGGTTGAGGTTGAGGAGTTGAGCTTCTTTGCTTTGAGTTTTAAGCTTTCCACTTGGTGCTGCCTTCTGTGCAGGTTCGAATGTCATCCGTTCGGGGGCACGAAGCATCCATGTTCGTCTCGACGACCATCACTCCGATGTTGAAGGCAATGACAATGCCCATGATGGTCTCGAACATCTGCGACAAGACCTCTGCGTGAGAACTACCACGGCCTCTGTCAGCCCATACCCATACTCCAAACACTCTGTGCAGCTTGTGATCCTTTTAACGTGCATTGAGACGTTCACCTGACAGACAAGCTCCAGGTTTGGGAGTTTAGGGCCCATTCTAATTAATAAGGCCCCTACATGACCCAGTATGCAGCGAGGGTAAAGCCTCCCTTGTTGAGTTTTATATGGGGGCAGGAACCTTTTTTTACATGAAACCTAGAAATCCTCAGCGGCCCAACGTCTGTTGAATCCATCCGCACACATGTGGCCCGAAATTGCCGAGCCATGATTTGGCTTTCGACTTGGGCATGTTGGGCTAGCTTTGCATGTTGTCCTGACACCCAACTTCGAGAGTTCAACTGCGAAAGTCCCAAAATAGAAGCTTGCCAATTTTCAAGCGAGGAGTCACAGGTTAAAGCTTCAAAAGTCTCAGGGGCCATCCTCACCACGACGACCAAGACGACCACAACCAGCAGGACCACTACGTCACTACGGCCACGGCCACCACTACAACCAGGAGACTACATGAAAATTCCAAACCTTCAACCGGCCACGGCACTACTTCGGCCATGGCAATCCGTGATTGGCTCCATATCACATTCCCCTCCTGCACACGGATTGAGAGCTCGAAGGCTTCGGGTTCCTTCGAAAGGCTTCTGGGCACCAGAGCTCGGCTGAAGAGGGCGTGGAAGGTATTCCCAAAGGGGAAAAGGAGGGACCCTTAATGGGGACCCTAGTACCCTATAATGGGCTATATAATGGGTATATAATAGCTATATCAAGGGTATATATGTAGGGGTCCTTGTGAAGGGTCCCTCCTTTTAGGTATTCAGCAAACAGGAGTCTATGAGTATACCCTTTAGAATACGCTTTCATGCACATGTCCATAACCATGTATGTGCATATGTCCATACCCATATCCATCTCCATCTCACTATAATGTCCATTCCCATCTCCGTGTCTATATCCTTTCCCCCAGCCATACATATGTGCGTACGTGTGTGTGTGTGTGTGTGGATTTGTGTATTCATACATACAAAAAGCACATAAATACATACACATGTATGTATGTGTGTATGTATGTACGTATGCATGTACATATGCATGTACGTGTATACATGTATGTAGGTATGTAAGTGTGTGTGTGTATGTCATGTATGTATGCTTGTATGTATTTATGTATGTATGTATGTATGCATGCATGCATGTATGTACTATGTTATACTATGCTACACTACATTCTACCATACTATACTATATATTCTGCAATAAATACCGTGTTATATTATGTGATACTATAGACTATAGTACACCAGGCTGCACGGTATTATACCAGATTCTACAATATTATACTAGCTTATACGATACCTTGTTATGCGTTAATCTCTACACCTTTGGCCATGATACGGGATCAGAGCCACTCAGCGATGAAACTCCTATGTCACGCGAGACAAGGGGTTGATTGAAAAAGAGGCATACGCCGTATTCTTCATCATTCAGGCTCCTATCTTTCCTGCTTGAAGCACTCGAAACCCTAAACCCTAAACTCGAAATCCTAGAGCAAGCCGATCTGAATTTCTAAGATCACCTGCCCACACCTAGTTATTTGATCACCTAAACTCCAAAATCTTACAACCCCGCTGACTTCGAGCTAAGCCCTGAATCTAAAACTCAAGACTTCGACACCCTCAACCTGAAACTCCAATTCTGAACAAGCTCAGTTGGACTTGGTGCTGAAGAGTTAGGTTTAGCTTGCCGGTCGGGAACTTGAATGGTTTGGGCCTGTAGGGTTTGGGGTTTAACGAGTAAGATACCAACCAGCGGTACGTGAGTTTCCAACGATGTCGAGATCATCCATCAAAGGCTAGCACTGCTAGCTCATGAGGCTGATTTGCTATGGCACTACACTCCCATAACCCAATGTGAAACCTGAGAAGAGCCCAACAATAGACTACATTACTACTCCCTTCTGAAAGGATGCTATTTGGCAGTGACCGTCAGTTGAGGATTTAGGAGTCGGTATATTTAGTAACAATATCGCCTTAAAGCTCTTTATAGATATGAGTAGTTGTCAATATTAGGGTCCCTTTTTGGATCCTTATTATGAAACGGCACCTAATATTTAAGGTACCCAAAAAGGGAGCATAATTTTGACAACCACCCATATAATATAAAGCACCCCCAAACCCATTCTACTTTCCAAGGCTCTTGTACTACTGATGCGGTACTGAAGCTCTATCCCTAAGCCTCACGACCCTGCGACCTTAACCGGGAGTTGGGATGAGGGGGACCGTGGGGATATAAACCCTCTCCATAAGGTCCCTTTTGAGAGAACCAGAAGTAGGGTTAAGAAAGTTCCCTTGAAGGGGTCTCCCCATTACTACCCAGGATGAAGATGTGAACTGCTTGTTGGTAGCGTTATCACGACCACTCTAAGCCAGGGTACAAAAGATCTTAATTAATGATCGTCAATAGGGTTTCGGGATGTTACTTATGGAATAGTCCCATACAGGGACTATAGGGGGATGCTATGGCTAAATTGGACCCGAGCCCTGCCCTGAACATGTGAAGTTTGTGGGGTATAAAGCCTCAACATGCTTCGACACTACAGAAAAACCGAGACCCCAAAGCCCCAAAGTTGAGCCCCTAATTTCTAAACCCTCAAGAGCCCGACCCCAAACCCGAACCCCCCCCAACGAAGAAACAGATCTACGGTTTAGGGTTTAGGGTTTAGGGCTCAACATTTGGATTTAGGGCTTACCGTCCCTTTTGCCTCATCTAACCATGGCTTCCAAAAGCTGCTCTTATAGCGCAAGGAATCCTTCTCCTGCTGCAGAGCTGTGAGCGCTGATACACATGGTGCTCGCAAGTGTTCTTATCCAAGGGTAAAAGGAGGGACCCTTAATGACCCCTAGGTATATACCCTTAATATAGCTGTAATATACCCATTGTATAGCCCATTGTAGGGTAGGGGTCCCCAATAAGGGTCCCATAGAACGGTTGTCTTGGGGGCTGCTCACAGGGTTTCATAAGGTTTTGTGATCGGGGCCTAATCAATTTGAAAAAAGCTTTTACGGTAAGCTATGGTGTAACTATACAGGAACTCTGGGTGGGTTTTACTACAAGCTCTCGGGTTTGGATTTGGAGTGGTTCGGATCGTTCGTTTTCGCTCCTGCTTGAGGGCTTTTAAGAATGCGTTGTTGAGCTTTTGAATGCTTCATGTGCGTGCCAGGATTTTGGATTTGATTGTTGTTGGCCAGTTGCTAGTTTAAGCCTCAACCCAAAATCCTAAACACCTAGAACCTAAGCTTCTGACACAAAAACACCCTGAAACCTTAGACCCTACTTGAAGGATCATGGGACTTAGTAAGTAAGGTTACAAGTACCTTAACTGGGGTTATAGGTAACTATACCCCAATAATAACCTTAGTTACTACGTCCCATGATCCTTTTTAAGTAACTCTAAGACCCCTCTTCTGGAACCCTTGTAGATCCCTTTTAAAGGAGCCCTTTAAGGAACCCTATAGTTACCCTTTTTTTAAAGAGTCTGTACCCTGAATCCAGTCCCGAGCTCGAGATCGCTTGCTTCAGGGTTCGAAGAGCTTGGGGCTTCGGGGTGCAATGATATAGGGTGGTTGTCAAAATTAGGGTCCCTTTTTGGGTGCCTTTAAAGGGTTCCTCAAGGGGATCTATAAGGGTTCTATAAAGGGTTTACGGTTTAGGGAGATATGGGTGGTTGTCAAAATTAGGGTCCCTTTTTGGGTCCTTTAAAGGGTTTGTTAAGGGGATCTATAAGGGTTCTATGAAGGGTTAGGGTTTAGGGAGATATGGGTGGTTGTCAAAATTAGGATCCCTTTTTGGGTCCCTATTATAATACGGCACCTAATATTTCGGGTACCCAAAAAGGGACCTCTATTTTGGCAAACTCCTATATAGGGTTTAGGGGACCAGGGGTGTGTAAGCAGCGTAAAACAAGGGGCCTGAGTTAGAATGAAGCTCTGGGGTAGATCACAAGTGGAAGTCGCTCTGGGGATGCTTAGGGTTTAAGGAATAGAATACTATTCAGTCAAACCTCTATGTCACTCTGGAGGATCCACCAGAGGCCAGGAACCATTCTCCGGGTAGTTCTCTAAAGTTGAGGTCCCTCTTGAGGTCTTGAAAAATGACACCCACCCGTACATATGGGATCCTAACAGGAACCCAAACCACCCGTGTAAGAGGTTGACTGAAGGTCAACTAATCAGTCGATAAGGGCGTCTGGGTTGGGGTTTATAGCTTTTTTCTTAGCTGGGGTGCAGCTTCGGGTTTTTGGGCTTAATACTTAAGGTATAGGGTTCTAGGGCTTAGGGTTTTGGATGGGTTTTGGGGTTCTAGGGCATACTTTAGGCTTTCGGTACACTTCTCGATTTGTGCGTGTCATCCTTGCGCAGGGGCCATGCTAATCTTCTCTGCATCGTTCCAATTTTATCGAATGACATAATGATCCCCGAACAGGTTTATGGTTTAGGGTCTAAGGCCTGCAGATGCTACGACAGCAGAAGACAGATTCCCCTCGCATGCCTTCCGATCCTCTTGCGGCTCTCCGAGTCACATTATATAATATCGAATGTGCTATCAACGGCAGCAGGTCTTGGAGATGGGGTCCAGGACTCATGCTTCGGAGTTTGAGTTACAACTGTGGGCTGGGAGCAAGCGAGGCACCGACATCTCACTGAATAGAAACCACCTGCAAGCCACCTGCAACCCTGTGACATTCTCTGATTCCTAGATCGAAATGGAAAGCTGCGTCATGTGCAGCAGCTGCTGCCGCTTTCAAAATACAAACCCAGGGCCCCGAACTGAAAAAGCCTTCAGAGACTCCAATGTCCCTTAATTAAGGAATCTACTTACCTCAAATTATAGTAGGATGCCTACTATGATTTGAGGAATATTCCTCAATTACGGGATATTGGAGTCTCTGGGTTGTGGGATACTTAGGTACTGCTACCTTATAGTAAGAGTCTATAATAGGGTTACTATTAAGGTCCTAATATATCTATATCATGAATATTCTTCAACTATTACTGAGTGGGGGCCGTACCCAATGGGATGCTGACAAGATTCGATTGTGGACAGTGTCTTCTTCAGGTGCGCCTTCTCCTTTTGAGGCTCAGGCTACCCAGGGCTTCGGCTGCCAAAGTTCCAAGTTCCCACAACCCAGAATCTCAAGATCAAAGGGGGAAAAGGAGGGACCCCTAATGGGGACCCCTACCCTAGAATGGGCTACATAATGGGTATATGATAGCTATATTAAGGGTATATACCTAGGGGTCCTTATTAAGGGTACAGCTTAGCGTTCAGCGCTTAGGGCTCCCTGAACCCTAAACCCTAAATCCTACACTGTAGAGAGATATCGAGCCCGGAACTTGTTGTTGTTGCTACGTTGCCTTCAGAGATCTGAAGTCACAGTAACCATATGAAGTATGGTTTAAAATACCGTTTTGGTGAGTGTAGATAGGGCTCCCTTTCAATATTGGTGAGCGTATATGTTGGGTTTTATTATGGGGGTACTAGTAATATAAACCATACCCCATATGGCAACCCCTACTTACAGCAACCACTCGTGGCAAACCTCACAGTAGTCCGTAAAGTAGCGTTATAGCAGCCCAGGTAGTAATCCTGAAGGTAACCCTCATGGCAGTCCTCTTCTTGAACCGGAAACATGACCCGACTAGTAACCCTTAGAGTAACTCTTCTCGCGACACGTACAGCCACGCTTATCGTAATACTTGGGACGCAGGAGTCCCTGCTTGCAATTTGAAGATGGCTTCATGGGGCTTAGGGTTTTCGGAGGCCTCAAAAGGTGGGATGAAGGTAGGTAGGATTAAGGATCCCTTATATAAGGACTCTTATTTGGGAATATCCCACCTACCTTCATCCCACCTTTTGAAGCCTCCGAGGTTTCTTGTAGTGATCAGGCTTCACGATTTCATGCTCACGGCGTCTAGGGTTCAGGGTTCTAGGTTTAGGAGCCTTTACCAGGTTTTGACAGTTGAAGGTCTCGGCTCGCTTCCAGGAGCAAAGTATCGAGGTTTTCGGGGCACCGTTCGGCTGTTGGGGATCAGGGTCACTCGTTGCTTGATGCGTAGTGTAAAGGGTTTCTATAGTGGTCTAAACCCCTGTAAAGGGTTAGTACAATGGTCTAAACCCCTAAACCCCTAAACCCTAGACCTTCAACCTTAAACCCCAAACCCTAAACCTTCAACCTTAAACCCTAAACCCTAAACCCTAAACCTTCAACCCTAAACCCTAAACCTTCAACCCTAAACCCTAAACCTTCAACCCTAAACCCTAAACTGCAAACCTAAACCCAAAACCTTCAACCTGAAACCCTAGACTTGAAACCCTAAACCGTAAACCTTCAACCCTAAACCCTGAACCTTCAACCTTTAACCCTAGACTTTAAACCCTAAACCTTCAACCCTAAACCTTAAACCTTACACCCCAAAACCCAAGGTTACCAAAAGTCTGCCCTTGCAATATCCGAGCGCCTCGGCGCTGATTCGCGCCTTGGCCTCTGTGGCATTCACCTCAGCGGTACTTGGAGGTTCATGGGTAGTTATAAGTAGGGTTCCTTTAAAGGGATCTATAGGGTTTAGGGTATAGGATTATAGGGTTTAGGGTTCAGGGGTAGTTATAAGTAGGCTTATAAGTAGGGTAACTATACTTACAAGCCATATTAGGGGACTGAAAACCCTAAACCTCCAAGTAGGGGCCTTCATCATCAGACTAGGGATTCCCTTTAAAGGGATCCTTCAAGGTGTCTATAAGGGATCTAAAATGGGGTCCTTTATTCGGGGCCGTAACAGTTAGAATAGGATTTGGGGCTTCCTTATTATATTTATAGTACACCATACCCCCAGACACCATTCCAATTATTAAGGCCCCTACATTAAAGCCTTCAATGGGGAAACCCAAAACTCCAAGACCAAAAACTTGAGACCCAAGCAGCGGAATCCCAAACTTCAATGCTACGGCTACAAACCTGAAAAATGCAAACTTGAAGACCCCCTAACCAGAACCCAAACCCGAAAATCTGAATCCTAAACCGTCCCCTGAAGCCGCTGAAAGCCCAAAGAGCTTCCCTTGTTGAGTTTGGCGCACGTCGGTGCTCCATGTTTTAATGTTTTTAGGGCCCAACAAAAGCACATTACAAAAAAAGAAAAGATAGGGATAGCCCATATAAAACAGCCTTATGGGTCCCTAAGTGTTCATGCGCAGCTACTGCTGCTGACTCTCATCATGGTTTGTCGGATGAGGGTTTGGGAATTACCTCCGCCCGGGAAGAACTCAGAAGGCATGACACTGGCCGACTGGGTCCGGAAGCGACTGGGTCCGGAAGCGGGGGGGCGGGGTCGAGTTCGAGTTCGACGACTAGCGCAAGTACTACCAACCATACCCCCGCTTAGAACCATAATAAGGATAATATCGTTAATCTTCTCATGGGTTTTACATGAACAAAAAATAATTCCTTAGGAGACTATAGCCAAAAGTTTGGGTCCGGGTTTGTCTCGAACTGGAACTCTTCGACTTCGAGTGGGGGTGGGGTTCCTACTGATTAGAAGACAGCGGAGATTTCGAGTTAGGGTGGGGTTCCTAATGGTTAGAACACAGCGGATGCCTCCAGAAACAGGACCCACAGAACAGATTAATCCACACTGGGTTACCCTAAACCCTAAACCCTAAACCGTAAACCCTAAACCCTAAACCCTATGGGGTCGAGGGCCGCAAGTCCCCACCCCTTGCCCCCCTTTAGGGTTTAGGGTTTAGGGTTTAGGGTTTAGGGTTCCCCCCCCTTCACAGGAAAGTTGAGCCAGAATGGACACTGAGGTTTGAGTTTTGGGCATGAGCGCTTTTCAGGGCTGGTGTGGGGTGTAAGGTGTATAGAGATCTCTGGCTCCCCGGTTTAGGGAGTTTGGGGCTTTGGGGGTTTCGGGTTTACGGGCTTGATGTCTGCGATCCACGGCACATGAAAGAGCTGAGAATTGGTGCCATGGGCGTGGGTGACAGCGGAGATGCGAGTTCCTGCGCTGAAGTGGTTGAAGAGTTGAGGGTTTGGGATTCGGGTAGGGTGCGGGCCGCTGCGGTTTTGGGCATCGCATGTGAAAAGCATCGTGAGCATATAGATAGCCAAGTAGCAGTGATGAAGGCACAAAAAAAGCACAACAACAACAACAACAACAAAACCATAGGGGCTGTAGAGGGGCCTTGATAATTGGAATAGGGTTTGGGGGCCCAAACTACTCTAATTATAATAAGGAGTCTTGCAAATAGCATTGGTAATTCTTAAGGCCCCTTCATCATATCCTCATAACAGCCCGTATAGTAGCCCCGTAAAGGGAACTCCCAAAATAGTATAGGTAAGTATTGAGACCTCTATAGACTCTATAGTACTGTACTAAACATCACCAGCTCCTCGACCTCCCCGCTGGCTTAGGATCGGCATCGCGTGCTGACTTGCCGGTGGGTCCACGGCAAGCGGCGAGGCTGCTAAGGACCCTGAAAATCGGCACACCAAAGGGACACGCTGCACCCGAAGCTGTCCCGCAACACCCAGCTGCCTAAAAATAGAGGTACGGAGTTGCAGCAAGTATTGACGAATGCATGGCCTGCAGATATGCCTCAGGCTTGGGTACAACCCCGTAGAAGAGCCTGCGCTGCTGCGAGACTGGAAACCCCGCCGTATTCTAAACCATCACCTACTTCCAAAGACTAGCGCTCAAATCCCAAGAATACAGGGGTCTTCGTCGTTGGAATAGAGGCTTGGGCACCTCTCATGCGCAAAAAACATAGGGACTCGGTCCAAGGGGGTTCTTTAGGACCTCTATATCACCCTGACTATGCACCTTAAACCTACGGCCACTGGAGGAGGACTTTGAAAATCGGCTTGAGACAGTGCAGCGGCGAACGGGCGGTGTTCCTTCGAAGCCACGGACAACAGAAACTCAAGCCAAGTCTCCAGATTAGATCCCCCAAGTCAGCCTAAAGCCTCCTTCAACCCTCATGAAACTGCCTTATATAATAATTAGAATAGGGCCTTGGGGGGGGTTCCCGATTATGATTGTAGCATAATATACCCCCAAGCCCTATTCTAACCACTAAGGCCTCTAGACTAGACCCTAAGCCTCTTTACAAGCGATCTGTAGCATGTGGGAGCAGGAAGGGAGCTTCGGATCCATTCGCAGCGCTTGGCCTAAAGGCGGTTTAGGACTTCAGGATTGTCGGCTTCTTGCACATAGTGATGATGTTGATGATGATGCCGACGAGTGGTGATGATAAAGGTGATGATGGCGGTGATGATGGCGCTGATGGCGATGATGATGTCAGTGATGGTGATGATGCTGCTGATGACGACCGCGACGACAACGTGGTCGCCGCGGCGTCGGTGGTGGTGGCTGGCGACTGTGATGGTGCTGATTGTGGCAGCTGCGACAGTGGGGGTGGTCATTGGTGATACCACGGAGGATGATGATGTTGATGATCGCTTAGGGCTTAGGGTTCAGGGGTTTAGGGGTTTCGCGTTTCGGGCTTAAGGCGGCAACTGGTCATGAGGAAAACAACCAAGCCGGCCAATCCAGCTCCACAAATGCCGTCAGAACCTCAGAGCTTTGCTGCTGGGCCAGCTCTATTACGATATAGTACATAATAAGTAGGGTTATAAGTAAGGTCTAATACTTATAACCCATGTTAGGGGACGTATAACCCTACTATAATCCCCCCTGAACCTCCAAGTACTGGCAGATTAGATGTTTATTTCATGTTATCTTGTAATATTGTATTATGAACGTACAGTATATTATCGTATAACAAGTTATAGTACAGTAGAATTCCTTATAGTATCCTATAGGTAGATTCCATCTCTCGTCTAGCTCTTTACCACGGCCGTACCAGATGGTCTCAAAGGTGTTTTGGGCTCAAAATTTCAGGTCTAGGGCTACGGCGAACGACGGTTTATTTAGGGTTCAGGGTTCAGGCTTTGATACAGCCTAAATCCTAAACCCTAAACCCCTAAACCCTAAACCCCAACCCCTAAAGCCCTAAACCCTAAACCCTAAAAGGGCTAAAAATCGAGGTCTAGAGCTCAACATTTCATGTGCAGGATGTTGGGAAGGCACGTCGCCGATACGCCACAATCACAAGTCTGAAGGCCAGAATCGCCAATCCTGAATCCAAAGACTGCGCCGGTTGAAGCTTGCACAATTACCCGCTTTATTCGATAGGGCTCCTTATTCTACCTACGTCTAATAGCAAAAATCCCGCGGAAAAACATTTTAAAAAAATAAATACTATTCTAATCATGTATAGGGCCACAATTTTGGGACTGTGGGTCCAGGGCCTGGGGGCTCCAAGAGGCGCTTACCAAGGCAACATCGTTTTGTGACAGTGCCGCCACCCTCATCATCATCTACACCAATGTCATCACCATCGCAGGCAACCTTACGCCCAGGTCACTGACAAGATTCGGGAAAATACATCTACACCATCCCAAAGCTTACTCCTTGAACCACAGACTCAAAGCCCCGAGCCCGACCCCTAACCTCCCCAAGGCCCGTGTAGAAACCATTAGAGGAACTCGAGTAGACACCAAAGAAAGGAGCTCTTGTGAAGGAACCCTGGAAGGAGCCTGTTGAAAGCAATCCTTAAACTTATACCCTTAAAGGAACCCTTAAAGGAACTCTCGCAAAGGAACTCTCAAAGCTTTAAACGAACTCTTGAAGGAACCTTTCAAACGAACTCGTTTAAAGGAACTCTTACAGGAAACCTAAAAAGGAAATCCTCGCGGTCTGGGACGGCTCTGAGGTCTGTACCGCTGGCCCGGCCCCTTCGTGAAGCAGCGACCTCCTCGTCTCCTGGCTTTTATTGTATTGTTCTCGGAGGTTCATGGGTAGTTATAGGTGGGGTTATAAGTAGGGTAACTATACTTATGACTCATATTGGGGTCTTATAACCCTACTGCCCTACTTATAACTACCCATGAACCTGCAAGTATAGCATGTTACACTACAGTACATTATGTTATAATATACTACAACACAATGCACTAGAGTGCGTTATAGGATGATTAAGGAGATATTGAGGATTTAGGGTTTAAGGCTTCAGGGTTTCAGGGTTAAGGGTTTAAGGTCTGAGGGTTAAGGGTTCAGGGCTTCAGGGTTTAAAGCTTAAACGTTTCGGGGTTCCGGGTTTTTGTTTTGAACGCCTTTCTCCGTCTGCTAGCTTGCTAACGTCCAGGGTTCAGGGTTTAGGGTTTAAGGCTTCGGTGCTGCGGGGACCGAAGCGTTCGAGTTGCGGGTTCAAAGTGTAGGGGATGAAGGGTCGCGAGCTTAGCATCTAGGGGATTGAAGCGCAAGGGTTTGGGTGCGTTTCGGGTTTCATGGCATTTCAGGTTTCGGGTTTGGGAGATTCTAGGTTTAGGGCTTGTGGACTTACAGAGTTAAGCCTTGAAAGAGCTTGTAAAAATCAGCGTTTCGCCCTTCCAGACCCCGAGAGCCCTATCTCCCTTAAGTAAGGAAGACTTCTTCTTGAGTCAGATGAGGGATCCTAGCTACAATCTTAAGTATCTTTCTGAATTAAGGGATACTTCTTCTTAAACCATATGAGGGATCCTAGCTACGATGTAAAGTGTATTTCTGAACTAAGGGATGTTGGAGTCTTTGGGTTCGTGGTCCGAGTATTCCCCATCTGCACTAGACTGCGAGGGCAAAAGAGTCTAAGCTTCGGGGATTAGGGTTTAGGGTTTAAGCTTCAGGGAGGAGGGTTTAGGTACTGCCTCCGTGCAGCAACCGTCTATCGTAGGGCTACATACTAACGAGGGCCATATCTATAGTCTATCTATCTCTCAACTGTGATTGACTGGGGGCATTGTCCAAGCAAAGCAAGTAGCCATACTGGCGTTCTTCGGCGTGATTTCATCTGCTATTTGTCCCAACCCTCGGTTACCCACCTCAAAATCCGAAAGCCTCTTGTCTTAAGGGTTGGACCCGATGATTTCCTAGACCCCCGGGAGGATCCAAAAAGTAGATCCCTGGCTCCTTTTAAGTACCCTTAGTAGTATAGAGCCCAAATTAATTAGGGGATCTACTTTCTAGATCCTCCCGGGGGTTCTGGGTCATAACTCATAACCTACTACGGGTTTTGTACGTTTTGGGGCTACAGGCAGAGCCGGAGACAAGAGCCGAAAAGATCCGAAAATCGCCTCGAAACCGAAGAACCCTCCCATCCCAACGCAGAACAGCCCCCGAAAACCCAACACCCTGAGCCAAAAAAAACCTAAACCCTGTACCCTTGAATCCTAAACACCAAACCCCATAAAGCCGAAAAAAACTTTCAGAGCCGACCTGACGGAGACTCCCGAAATGGTCGGAGATGACGAAGAGGATGGCGTTGAAGAGGTTTGTCTTCCCGGAGCCATTGAAACCTGAGATGCCGTTTCAACCCTGCGCCTGATCTGGTTTTAGGGTTTAGTGCCCCCCGGGAAACAAAATCACCCAAAATTAACTATGCTGGATACCCATAAGCTAGGGCCGTGATAATCAGGATAGTATTTTGGTACATCATACTCGTAGGTTTCGGGGCCCAGTAGGGGCAGAGGAGGCTTCAGGGTTTGGAGGGCTTGGGGTCGAGGGCTCTTTGCAGGGTTCAGGACCTAGGGTTTAGGGTGTAGTAAGCCCTACCTGGATCCTGAGGACCTACCTTTTTAGGGTTCCCTAATATGATTTCTTTATATAAGTCTTTGAAAAGGTAGGTTACGTGGGGTTAAGGTAAACCCTAAACCGGGTGGACGGTTTCAAACTTAGGGCTTCAGTGCTTGAGGGCCCTGGCCCCGACCGTGGCACCACCGAAGCCTCCCCACTCCTAACAGCCGCCTCACTCCTAAGCCCAGAGACTCCAATATCCCTTAAATAAGGAATACTCCTGAAATCATATTTGGGATCCTACTACAATTTTTGGGTATATTCCTTAATTACGGGATATTGGAGTCTCTGTGAGGAATGCTGAAGACACTGAGAATGACGTCCCACTCGATGTTCTCCACGATATTCGAGTCATAAGCGCACAGATCGCTGTCGCAGGGGATGGCCGCCGTTCGTTTTTGGCATCTGGTTGTAATAAGGAACCCCCAAAATAGTATAGGTAATTATTAAGGCCCCTTTAATAGGGTTTAAGGCTAAGGAAGTCGAAACTGCTCTGGCTCTTGTGCACCGCTCGCGGCTGTTTGATCGAAAGCTGCAACAGCACTTGGTCCCCCAAACCCCAACGCTAAACCCCCAAACCCCAACGCTAAACCCCCAAAACCCCAACGCCAAACCCCTGAACCCCATGGACCCGTTTGGGGTTTAGGGTTCAAGGTCGGGAAGTCCAAAAGGCGTTGATCTTTGATTTGTACGGCTTAAAGTTACGGCGTAGAGTTTCGGGTTTAGGGTTTAGCATCGTCAGTTTCGTGACATGTAGAATGGCGCGAAGAGCAGCCCGAGTCCTGGCCATAAACAGTTTCATGAACCCTCACTCATGAATCGGAAAACTAAACCCTAACCCTTAGAAACGTAAACCCCTAAACCCTAAACTCCTTCAACCTAAAACTCAGGGCCCAGATACTACTTCCTTAACCCAAAACGATCAACATCAGGCTTTCAGCCTCTAGGGGCGGGTGGCACCTGGCTGCGATTCTCCACTAGTAGGTACTTAAAGAATCATGGGAAATAGTAACTAAGGTTATTCTTACGGTAACTATACTTAGAACTACTTATAACCCCAATTAAGGTACTTATAACCTTACTTACTAAGTCCCATGATCCTCCAAATATGCTCTATACACCCTAAAGCATTGTAGATCCGTTATTGAACGTTCTAACATGAGCACAGGTTAAAGACTGAATCCCAAACGCCCCTAAACCCTAAATACTAAATCCCAATTCCACCAACCAGAAAGTGGGGGCCTCAGTAGCTGGAGACTTCCGTTCTGGCGGCGAAACACTCAAAGGGTCCAAGGTGGGGTAATCCTAAGGAAAAGTCCTTATATGAATCGATCCTTGACCCTACCTAGCTTCAGGTCTCCCTTACTCTGCAAGCCTTTCAAGGTTTATTAAGGGGCACGACGATTACGATTTTTTCAGGCTGGCTTTGTTGATCGCGAGCCCCGCTGAACCTGGAACCGGGCTCCGAGTTCAGCTGAGCAGATCGGTGCTGAGGCCGTGGCCCACGATGACGTTCACACCCGGGTGCATGTCATCATTGAGGCTCACCTTGCGGAATGGCCCAGGGTCGCACATAGATGCGTGCCTATTTATGTGTACAAATATGTAAGCATCAAAAACTGAAACATGGTTTGGCGGCTTCTAAACCTAAACAGTAAGGGGACGGAAAAAGAAAAATACTACTCAACTGCGCGACCCCTGTGTTTAAAGGGGTTTCGGGCTTGGCTGAAAGTTTAGGTCTAGGGCGCCTTTTTTTGGTTTGGGGTTTTGGCAAGTCTGAGATTAAGGGTTTTGGGCTCGGAGCTCATCGATTGGCCACCCCAGACCCATCAAAACCTCCCAAGACCCTAGTTCAGGGGCCTCGATGAATAACATGAGCCTGTTGGGATACATTACAGCATGATTCGAACAGGAAACCGTCAGAAAATAGCGCTGGTAATGATTCTAGCGACTGTGTTGCATGCCGACTCTGGTCCTATCATGTCCTATCCTCCTATGGCCGTGCAGCCCTGACTGCGGAACCTACCCCTCAAGTACTGAACCCGAAATATGACCTATCTCCGCATTTCAGGTGTAGGGTTTAGGGTTCAAGGTTACCTGAGCATATACAGTACATACGACTTAGGAATAGGACTGTCGTTTCTACTTCTACCGCCTATTTCAACCCTAAACCCTACACCCTTAAACCTGAAACATGTGCAAACCTCTTCGTTCGCACCCTCAGCTCCATCGGGTCTTTCCTTTAGCCATCAACCCGCACCCCGAGCCCCTTGTGTTTCGGGGCCTGGCTTAAGGGCCCAGGGTCCAGGATCTATCCCATCAACGAATCCGAGAACCCGATCACAAGTGTTGAATGTAGAGAAGGCGATAATTTTGAATTCATGTAGTTCCCAGAAAAGGCCAATGCCGCGCAATCATGCAACTTTCACCGAAATTCCATGCAACCGAAAGCGTAGACCCGAAAACCTAAACCTTTTCTAAAGGGGGTCTATAGGGCTCCCCGGCTCGAGGGAACCCCAGAAGCCTAAGCCTTAAACCTCAACCCGGACCCAAACGGTAGAAGCCAAGAAAAACTCTCACGCATAAGCAGAATATCCACAACAATTGTCATCATCAGAACGGTCCAAGGATAATCAAAGAATCACCATAGCCATCATTATTATGATGATGAAAACATAACCAAAACAACACTAATCAGGATAATGACAATAAGCAGGAGCCTGGTCCTTGTAGGTTTTGAAACCCCGCAGAATCACCTCACAGGAGGCAACTGGCTTCTGAAGGTTTCAAGGTTCCTTTAAGGGATCTTTAAGGGTTCCTTCAAGGGATCTTTGAGGGTTCCTTTCAGGAATCTTTGAGGGTTCTTTCAAGGGATCTTTAACGGTTCCTTCAAAGGATCTTTAAAGGTTCCTTTAAGGGATCGTTAAAGGTTCTTTTCAGGGATCGTTAAGGGTTCCTTCAAGGGATCTTTGAAGGTTCCTTTCAGGAATCTTTGAGGGTTCTTTTAAAGGATCTTTAAGGGTTCCTTTAAGGGATCTTTAACGGTTCCTGTTAGGGATCTTTACGGGTTCCTTTCAGGGATCCTTAAAGGTTCCTTTAAGCGATCGTTAAGGGTTCCTTTCAGGGATCTTTGAGGGGTCCTGTTTGTAAATAAAGCCAATAGTGCAACGGAAACTACTACTCCAAATGAAACAACTTTTTCTAATTTACAATCAAACAACCCTGAAAACACTGATAACAAAGCACTGACTGGAAACCAAACTAAATTTGAAACTGCGAAACAAGCAGTAGAACAAGTTGAAGACGATGCTGCAAAACAAATATCAGAACAAACACCAGCACAAGCTGAAGCAGCAACACAAGCTGAAGCAGCAACACAAGCTGAAGCAGCAACACAAGCTGAAGCAGCAACACAAGCTGAAGCAGCGAAACAAGCTGAAGCAGCGAAACAAGCGGAAGCAGCGAATCAAGCTCAAGCAGCGAAACAAGCTGAAGCAGCGAAACAAGCTCAATCGAAACAAGCTGAAGCAGCGAAACAAGCTCAAGCAGCGAAACAAGCTCAAGCAGCGAAACAAAATGAAGCAGCACCGTTGTTTCATCTTTGTGTTCTTCGCGTTCGTCGTCGCAACCTTCTTCTCTCTGTCAACCACATTATTGACTGTGGTTGGTGGTGTTCTATCCACACCATCAAACATCCGTGCATGGCTTGGCAAGTAGCATCCGAAGAGCTCCATCAGATTGTCTTCAACTAGAGGGAGAGTGTTCAGAGAACATTGAGATGAATTTTTCTGGTATCTATTGCACCAGTTTTCATCTCTTCTGTAACCCTGAAGACATATCTGTCGCTTCTTGCTTCCTTGGGTATCGACCCGACTGCCAATATCTCATACGACCATCTTCCGAACCATGCGCCGCAATAATAAGTATTGCGGTGCAGTGTATCGTCGAAGAGGTCTTTGTCGAATATGGTAGTCCAGATGTGTCGACATTTGGTAGTGTCGAACACATCTATCGATGCCTCATCCCGATCCCCTAATTGCCTGCGATGAGCAGCGTAGTAAAACGCTACCGACAAGTGGGATGTAAAGGAAGTAAAGATGCTGTTCACAGAGTATCCACTCACATGTGCTGCCGCAGAAGTCATGATTATTCTGACGCCTGAGTATTTTGGAACGACGTCGCCATCAATACCCGCGCCTACATCTCCTCTGAAAACATAATGTGGAATCTGCTTGTATTTAGGAGCCACATCAGAAGTCTCAGCCGTGAGTTCCCGGCGCCAATCGTGAGTGCTCTTTCAGTAATGAGCCATGACTGACTCATTCATTTTCCAGTTTGGGTCTCGCTGACTTACAGCTACATTAATGCGTTCAACCCACGTTTTTGGTTCAACGAGAACCTGGGGTCTTTGCGACATCGATGTAGGAAGAGCACTACGAACAGCTGCAGGAGCAACTTCAGCACGAGCAGCAGCTGTTTTCTTTTGCCGAAAATTGCGAGACATTTCAATATCATTTGCCACAATCTCAGCTGTGGGAACAATTACATCATTAACGGCATCACATGCAGCAGCATCACGAGCAGCAGCAGCAGCAGCACGAGCAGCAGCAGCAGCATCACGAGCAGCAGCAACACGGGCAGCAGCAGCATCACGAGCAGCAGCAGCAGCAGCATCACGAGCAGCAGTAGCATCACGAGCAGCAGCAGCAGCAGCAGCAGCAGCAGCAGCAACAGCAGCAACAGCAGCACAAGCAGCAACAGCATCACGAGCAGCAGCAGCAGCAGCATCATCACCAGCAGCAGCAGCATCACGAGCAGCGGCAGCATCACGAGAAGCAGCAGCATCACGAGCAGCAGCAGCAGCAACACGAGCAGAAGCAGCATCACGAGCAGCAACAGCATCGCCAGCAGCTGTTTTGTTTTGCCAGAAGTTGTGAGACTCTTCCATGTCCTTTGACACAATGTCAGTTGCCGGTCTAGCCATTGCGAGCACTAATGCTTATTTGCAAGGCTTATTCTCTCAGTATGCGTGTTTCCACGGTCCAAGCTCAAGCAGTTCATTACTTGAGCCAAAATGGCTACGGTAATACTTTTTTCTATTAAGGGTTCCTTTAAGGGATCTTTAAGGGTTTCTTTCGGGGATCTTTCAGGGTTCCTTTCAGGTATCTTTAAGGGTTCCTTTCAGATATCTTTGGGGGTTCGTTTCACTTTCAGGGTTCCTTTCAGGGATCTTTAAGGGTTCCTTTCAGGGATCTTTGAGGGTTCCTTTAAGGGATCTTTAAGTGTTCCTCTCCGGGATCTTTACGGGTTCCTTTCAGGGATCTTTAGGGGTTCCTTTCAGGGATCTTTGAGGGTTCCTTTAAGGGATCTATAGGGTTTAGGGTCAGGTACCCAGAGACGCCAATATCCCTTAATTAAGGCATACCTGAAATTATAGTAGGACCCCTTATATGATTTAAGGTCTATTCCTTGATGAAGGGATACTGGCGTCTCTGGGCACGTGGGATCTAAACTCCTTTGCTGCTTAAGGGTTGAAAGTTCAGGCCACCAAGGCGGAATACAGAGGCCTTCACAGTTGTTTCGGGAAATTCTCTAATAGATACTGTATCCGTATAAACGTATAGGGACTGCACAATAGTTTTTATTGCTAGCTCTTAAAAACGCCATGAAGCTGGTGTAGACTTTGGAGATTTGGACGGACTGGGCTAAGGGCTTGGCTTCGACACAAAGTGCGAATCAAGATGAAGCCAACCCTTCTGCGATGCAACCCGCCCACGGGCTAGCAAGAACAGAAAATCAAAAACAACTCAAACTATAATTCTGAACCTCAAACTAACCGAATTCTGGCAGGCTTCAAATCCCTTGGCCTCGGGGTAACAACAATTTTAGGATTGCGGGCAGCCAGTGTAAGGAATCCGATCAGCACAACTTCATCACATCGTCTGAAGCATTGCACATTCTAAGGTAAAAGCCAGAAAGTTGGAATATGATTATCCTAAACCCTTTATGGTAAATTATAAGGTATCCTACCCTGAAACCATATTCCAACTCTCTGGAGTTCCCTTTAGGGTCTAGAGTCTCTAGATTGAAGGTTTAGGGTTTCGGGAGGCCTGTTTGATGTGCATGGCGACAGCACTACCCCACGAGTGCCATGAGGAGGCCACTCAGAGGCCCTCCGATTAATCTTGTTTCATGAAGATAAGCTTAAGTTGGTTCATGTGCTGTCATGTGTATTGAACTTCTTCGTGTTCTCATGTGGTCAGGTGCAAATCACTCAAAGCATACGAAGCGTGCTTCTAGCTCCTCAGTGTATCTGGGCTCTGGTGTTGATGTACAAGGCGTCTTCTCGTTGACACTGGCAATTTGCAGTCACCCATGCGTCCTGCTTCGAACCGAAAAAAACTGCGCCGTAGAATGCCGAGGAGAGCACACGCACGAGACAGGGGCTCGCAAGCCGCCAACACCTGGTTGGAGACTTTTCAAAGGCTCCGCAGACGACATAGCTATCTATCGGCAACCCCCATGTCCAATTTGCAAGTTTCGGATGACGTCGCAGCTGAAATCCAGGGAAGGACTTCAAAGGCATTCAAGAACGTCGCAACAACGACAGTTTACAGGAACCCGGTCGTCAGAACCCTACACTCGCCTATTCCCTCAAGCCTGAACCCTGAACCCTGGACCCCAAAGCCTAGCTCCGCAGGAAATAGGGCCCCAAAAAAAGCACATAAGCAAAAATGAGGATAGGGATATCCCATATGAATCCCCTTATAATGAAGCCCAATAAGGTAGGGATATCCCCATAAAAATGCTTATGCCTATGTGCTTTCTGGGTCCCTAAGGAAAGAGCATCAACCCGAAGCATTTACCTTTCACTCCGCGGGTGCTGATTCCAGGAGCTTGGTTAGCTTGTCGGCGCAGCCGCGAGCGACAGGCATCAGCTCCTGCGTCACAACACGCACATCCTCAAGGTGTCTGACAACGGGGCCCAACCCTAAACCCCAAGCCCTAAACCCCTAAACCCGAAACCCTACAATTAGAATTGGGCTTTCAGGTATATTGTACTCGAAATATTACAAGCATCTCTAAGGAAGAGTATTCGTACTCATTCAGGCTTCCGTCTTCTGTCATTGTCCCTCGGCTTTGGGTTGTGGGGTTTCGGCTGTAGAGTTTAGAGTTTTGGGTTTGAGACTCAAGGTTTAGGCTCCAGGCTTTAGGCCTTTGTGTACTGCTGGGAACCCTTTCATTTTAGGGTTGCGTGTGTAGGGTTTAGGGAACTCCTGTTTATGGAAACCGTTGTAGGTCCGGGCCTTCTGGTATCAAGCGCCCTGGGCTTCCGCCCTTGAGTTTTCAACGGTTTGGGGTTTAGGGTCTGGGGTTTAGGGTTGATAGGATTTGGGGTTTGGGGTTTAGGATTTAGGGTTCTCGTAAGGGCTCTCTGGGTCTGATTGGGTCTTCTGCCGGGTTATGGTAAACCAATGCCAGAACTACATAAGGACTAGTAGAGGCTATTGCAAATCAGTCAGAGCCCTATACTTTGAAGAAGAGTATCCCCCAACCGGAGTAAGCCCATGCTTTGAGTCGAATTTTGGGGCATTGCAAACTCATAACCTTGCTGCGCACCTGGTTCCGAAGCCCCCTGACCCCCTAAGTAGAAGTCGTTACCGGAACCATGGGCCCTAAACATACCCCTGAACCCCGGAACCCCAAAAGTAAACCCTAAACCCGGTAAAACCTGAAATGTTTAGATCCACCAAACCCCCCTCAAACCCCCAAACCCCCAACCCGAAGAGCCCGTCCTCTAAGAAGCGATTTGCATCGGCTCCGCCGCCCTGCGCATGACATGTCTCTTAATGTACGCGCGTTTGTTTGGGACATATTACAGCATGATGACCCTGAGACAAGTGATAGTAACTCTCAACCCCGAAACCCTTCACCCTTCAACAAAAAGTACTGTAAACCAAAAGGGTGGCTGTCAAAATTATGGTCCCTTTGTGGGCCCTGAAGATAGTACGGCACCTAATATTTAGGATACCCAATAAGGGACCCTAATTTTGACAACTACCTAAAAAAAACTTTAACCCTTTAGACCCTCAACCATGCGTCCGAAAGCCTTCAAATCAGAAAAAACCCAGAACCCCTAAATCCACAACCCTCAGACCAAGAAGAACGGAATGCCTAAACCCTAAACCACAAAGTTTCGCACTATGGGTCCAGGTGCCCAAATGGTAGATACGGCTGATGATATAAATCCTGCATTACCTTAAGGACCCTAAACTATGGGAATTATGGTATGTTCCTCATTATGGATAATGCAGGGTTTATATCATCAACCCTACTTTGGCCGAGGCCAACATGTGTACTATATGGGTGGTTGTCAAAATCATGGTCCCTTTCTGGGCCCCTATTATGATACGGCACCTATTATTTAGGGTACCCAGAAAGGGACCTTAATTTTGACAACTACCCATATGGGCGCATGGAGCCTCAATCCTAAACCCCATAGAACCTTCAGGGCTTATGGGGTAGAGCTCAGGGCTTATAGCGGCTCCCGGCTCATAGGATTCACGGTGAAGGGCTTAGGGTGCTCAGGGCTTAAAGTTTAGGACTTAGTTTTTAGGTTCAGGGTTGAGTTTAGGTTTCCGGGCTTAGGCATCCGTGCCCCGGGGTTTTCACAACGGGACGTGGCCTTCGCTATCTTTTTCGGGCTTGCAGGCTTCGGGGTCCAGAGTTAAAGGTTGGGGCTCGGACATTGGGAAGCCCAAACCCTAAACTCCGACCCTAAGCCCAAAGACCCAGCTTGCAAACCCTGAACCTAGCTCAGGGTTGGGATAGGGTTAACAATGTACATTTTTATTACTTATTATTGGGGTTAAGTACCCATGAAAATGCAAAATTATACCCAACTATGACAAAGAAACCTATACCGATACCGTGGAAGAGGTTTGAGCACCGGAGTGGAGGTTTCCCCCGAGGATCGGATGGGGCTGCGAGTAGGCTCTAAGCCCTAAGACAACCTAGAGACTCCAATATCCCTTAAATAAGGAATATACCTTAAATAAGGAATATACCTTAAATTATAGTAGGATCCCTAATATTATTTAAGGAATATTCCTTCATTAAGGGGATATTGGAGTCTCTGACAAGAAGACGGAGAGTCCCCATCCTCAAGCCCGAAGAAAGCTTCCCCAAAACACATGGCCAGAGACCTGTGGAACAGCTCGGGTGAAGGGACTCTGGAGACTTTCGTGGGACTTTCGCATTGCGGGCGAAGTGATTCGTGCAATGCAGCGGGATTCAGGAAGCGGGAACTTGGAATCCAGGTGTTTCTCCACTACAGAATGGTTTCCCAGCATCATGCCATGGTCAAAAGTCTCGTGATCACGGGCCCGCTATATCCAAACCCCAAGCCCGAGGTAACAGGTGTACGGCTTACGGTCGAAACCTCCGAAACCCAGATCTACCCTCTCTAAGGCGAGTTTACTGTGAGATCTCTTAGAAGGGGCCCCACCCTGTAATAGTGGTATAATTGGAATATAATAGGGCCCTAATATAATCCTTATAGTCACTATTACAGGGTGGGGGCAGCTTCTAAGAGATCTCTCCCAAACTGAAGCCATGACCCAAAACATCAAAACTAGAACAGATAAAAGCTGGCCCAGCCGTACAGTCAACGCCCCCATGCCCTCAAAATCGCTTTAGATCAAGCCGTCTGGTGAAACCCTAAAATGGCCCCAAAATCCAAAACCCTAAATCCTAAAGACCCTCAACCCAACACCCTAAACGCTGAACCCTGCAAAGCCCGGGTCGCCTGGTGAAACACCAGCCAGGAGCCATTCACGTTGCACAGCGAGGCAGAAGCGCCCAAGCCTTCGTGTTATTGCTTCTGTGCTTGCGGCATTCAGGGCTTTAGAGGTTAGGAGGATTTAGGGTTTACAGTTTGGGTTTAGAGTTTAGGGTTTAGAGTTTATTAGGGTTTAGAGTTTATTAGGGTTTGGAGTTTAGAGTTTAGGGCTTCAGGTGAAGACGGATGTAGGGTTTAGGGTTTAGGGGCCGTAGGCTGCGGCTGTAAGTTTAGGGTTCAAGGCTTAGGGGCTGAAGGGGGTTTAGGGTTTAGGGGTTTAGGGTTTAGGGGTTTAGGGGTTTAGGGGTTTAGGGTTTAGGGGTTTAGGGTTTAGGGGTCTAGGGTTTAGGGGTTTAGGGTTTAGGGGTTTAGGGTTTAGGGGTTTAGGGTTTAGGGGTTTAGGGTTTAGGGTTCAGGGAACTTCAGGAAATTCGTAGTTTTTCCATGAGGGAGTCCGGCTCGCTCTGATGCGTACAGGGTAGAGGGCGTACCCTAAACCCCCAAGCCCTAATCCCTGAACCCCTGAACCTTAAACTCCTAAAACTTGAACCCCAGACCCAAAATTCAAAACCCCTAAAACCTCAAACCCTGAAACCTATAGAGTGTAGGCTGATGAGTTAGCGAGCGAGTCTTGGAAGAAGGGTCAAGGACTCAGGCTTTTGCAGGCTGGGGAGTCTAGGAGCGCGGGCTTTGGGTCTAAGGTTTAGGGTTTAGGGTGCAAGATTTAGGGCTGACGCCCTTCGTGCTTGGGTCTCCCAACCTTATCAACACACGCCCTAAGAACCACTGCGATATTAGCAAGCACCGCCTTGGGACCAAACATGGTCGAAACGTTGCAAGTGACGAAGCGTGGACCACACCTCTGAACTCTTTCTCCAAGACCAGGGGTGGCCGCTTCATTGGAGAATTCACCAAATCTCCAACCTGCGCCCGATTCTCATTCTTGATGTCATACAAGAAGAACTTTGGCGGCGCCGTGTCAAAGGGCAGTACCTCTTCAAACTTGCCACGCCACTCTTTCTTTAGACGTGGCTGGAGCCACATCGAAGCAGCAGTAGCACAGCCGCTAAGGGTCGGTCCATGGAATGATATAGTATAGCCAAATCCCTTCAAGGCACTGAAGTTATCCTATCTCAAACCCTATATACCTACTTTAAAGCCGAAGCGTATACTACATGGGCACATGGTGCCTTAAGCCCTGAACCCTAAACCGTGTAGAACCCGTAAAGGAACCCAAAAAGGAATCCTTGCAACAGCCCTTCAAGGAACCCTTCAAGGAACCCA